CGGTTGGCCCGATTCAGCCATCGCCCTGAAAGTCGCATACGCTTCAGCCCTGCGGGCCTAGCAATGTCAGGCCGAGGCATTCAGCTGTGTCCGATGGATGCGCCCTGGCGCCCGGAACACCTGGCAGCTGCCTCCAGCACTGCTTAGCCAGCCTTATTTGCATCCCAACATGCATTGCGACCAAATGGCCGTCTTCGCCCTGGCAGCCAGAACAACTGGCTGCGTCAGCCAGCCGCTTACATCAAGCCGCTCTGACCGAAAAAAGTGCAGACCCTGAGCAACAGGCTGCTCACAGCCGCAAGCGTGCATTGTCACGCGGACATTTGCCCTGCCAGGTACAACCCCACTCTGAAGGGCGGGTGATGAGGCCGGCGGCCCAGCTGGCTCGCTTATACCGGGGTTGCCTGAAACACTGAAGGGGGGGTCAACGCACCTCCTGTTCCAGGCGCACCAGTGCCCTGGAAGCAGTGCTACTTTCAGCAATCCCGGTAAAAAGAACTGCGGCCGCTTCGGACTTGCGTTGTTCTTTTGGGTGTTCATGTTTGGGTTCAAGCTAGGAGCAGTGCAACATGCCTTAACGCTTAGGGTTTCTTTTCCCTTGTGTTTAGGGCATGTTGTGAATCGAACTACGCGGTGGCCGTTTTGCTCCTAGCCTTGACCCAAACTTGCGGTTTCATTTGAAACCCGGTCAACGCACCTCCTGTTCCAGGCGCACCAGTGCCCTGGAAGCAGTGCTACTTTCAGCAATCCCGGTAAAAAGAACTGCGGCCGCTTCGGACTTGCTTTGTTCTTTTGGGTGTTCATGTTTGGGTTCAAGCTAGGAGCAGTGCAACATGCCTTAACATTGCCGTGATTTTGAGCCTTGGAAAGCCTCCAGAACCGTTTTCTGAGCGAACAGAACAAGGTCTTCAGCAATTCAGGAAAGCGCTTTTTCGGGCTAAAAGCTAAAGGGTGACAAGCTCGGCAGGATGGATTTTTGCAGCTTTTTCGGGCCAAAAACGGAAAATCAAGAGGCAGGACCTCTTTGGCCCAAAAACGCTCAAATCGATAGGCGTATGTTCCTTACTGCTGTTTGACCGAAAAAAAAACGAGGTCTTCAGGAATTCGGGAAACTGACCGTTTTGTGCTCTTTTTCAGCCCAAAAAGGTAGGGGTGACAAACGGTGACAACGGGTGACAAACCTGGGAGCTTCTCATGCCAACTTTTCGACAAATACTTCACCTGCCAACTTCTCGTGCCAACTTTTCGAGAAATACTTCATTTGCCAGCCTCTCACGCCAACTTTTCGAGAAATTACTTCACCTGCCAACTTTTCGCGCCAACCTTTCGAGATTACTTCACCTGCCTCGTGCCAACTTTTCGAGAGTTACTGCACCTGCCAGCTTCTCATGCCAACTTTTCGAGAGTTACTTCACCTGCCAACTTTGCCTGCCAACTTTTCGAGAGTTGCTTCACCTGCCAACTTCCCGCGCCAACTTGTCGAGAGGTACTTCACCTGCCAACATCGCCCCTGCCAACTTTTCGAGAGTTACTTCACCTGCCAACTTCCCGCGCCAACTATTCGAGAATTACTTCGCCTGCCAACTTCTCATGCTAACTTTTCTCTTGAGTTACTTCACCCGCTAACTTCGCCAACTTTTCGAGATTTACTTTACCTGCCAGCTTCTTGTGCCAACTTTTCGAGAACTACTTTACCTGCCAGCTTTTCATGCCAACTTTTCAAGATTACTTCACCTGCCAACTTCTCGTGCCAACTTTTCGAGAATTACTTCGCCAACATCTCATGCTAACTTTTCAAGAGTTAATTGACCTGCCGGCTTCTCACGCCAACTTTTCGACAAAGACTTCACGCGCCATCTTCTCGTGCCAACTTTTCGAGAATTACTTCACCTGCCAGCCTCGCGCCAACTTTCCGAAAATTACTTCACCTGCCAACTTTTCTTTTGAGTTACTTCACCTGCCAACTTGTCACGCCAACTCTTTGAGAGTATTTCACCTGTCAACTTCTCATGCCAACTTTTCTCTTGAGTTACTTCTCCTGCCAACTTCTCATGGCAACTTCTCGAGAATTACTTCACCCGCTAACTTCGCCAGCCAACTTTTCGAGATTTACTTTACCTGCCAGCTTCTCATGCCAACTTTTCGAGAACTACTTTACCCGCCAGCTTCTCATGCCAACTTTTCGAGATTACTTCACCTGCCAATGTCTCGTGCCAACTTTTCGAGAGTTGTTTCACTTGCCAACTTCTCTTGCCAACTTTCCGAGAGTTACTTCACCCGCCAACTTCGCCAGCCAACTTTTCGAGAGTTACTTCACCTGTCAGCTTCTCACGCAAACTTTTCGAGAATTACATGTCCTGCCAACTTCTTATGGCAACTTTGCGAGAATTGCTTCACAAGCCAACTTTGCCACCCAACTATTCGAGAGTTATTTCACCTGCCAGCTTCTCATGCCAAGTTTTTGAGAATTACTTCGCCTGCCAACTTCTCATGCTAAGTTTTCAAGAGTTACTTCACCTGCATCAACTTGCCTCTATGCTTCCGGGCCACTCGTCGTCTAGTTTTTCCCTGGTTTTTTAGCCTGCCTTGCAGAACGCAGCTACGGGGCAAACTGCAAGGGTATCTAGGGGTCGATATAGTGCAGGCACGCTCTCTGCAGCACTTCAGCTTCCGGATCCTTCGCAGAACGAGGTCGTTTCCTGGACGGACAAGTGTCAGAAGCCTTTCAGCTGCATTAAAACCCTTTTGGAGAATGCCCTCTAAAGAGAGAGATGTAGAATCAAGTGTGGGATGAGCCACGTGGAATGGAAAGCTTGGCCATGAATAAAGATAAGGGGATACACAGTGAAATGCATTCTAGGGAGAGCGCGCAGTGAAATGCGTAGAGGCACGCGCAGGGAAAGTAGACAGTGAAATGCGCAGAGGCACGCGCAGGGAAAGTAGACAGTGAAACGCATAGAGCCATGCGTAGGGCGACAGTGAAATGCATAGAGGCATGCGCAGGGAAAGTAGGTCGATTAGCATAAACTGGGGTTTTCTTGCGATTTTCAGCTTGCGCGCGCGACGGTGTGGTCGATGTGCAAAAGTTGTGAGTTGTTTGCATTTTTGCAACTATGCATTTTACAGCGTTTCATTGTCTACTTTCCCTTCGCGTGCATCTATGCACTTCACTCTGTCCTGATCCACGCGGAGGGCCGCGCGCGCACGGCAGGAATCGCACAAAGTCTGCAGTTTTTGCGCATCGACCCCGGCGATCCCCGCAGAGGCGCACGCGCATCGCGAATCGCTAAAAGTCCACAGTTTTTGCACATCGACCACGCCGATCCCCGCAAAGGGCCGCGTGGGCAAGTTGAAAATCGCAACAAACCCGCATTTTTTGCACATCCACCACGACACTGATCCCCGCAGAGGGTCGTGCGCGCACGGCAAGAATCGCAAAAACAAACGCAGTTTGTTGCACATCGACCGCGCCGATCCCTGAGAGGGTCTCATTTTCGCGGAGTCCCACCGCGCGGCCTTAAGATACTAATTTTAAGTTAGCGTGCAAATTTCCTCGTGCAAGCTATGTTCTTGCGAGAAGGAATGCAGGATCGCTAAGCATTTCACAGTGTACTTTCCCTATGCATGGCTCTATGCATTTCATTGTCTACTTTCCCTGTGCATGCCTGTATGCATTACATTGTCTACTTTCCCTGTGCATGCCTGTATGCATTGCTTAGGGTTTCTTTTCCCTTGTGTTTAGGGCATGTGGTGAATCGAACTATGCGTTGGCCGTTTTGCTCCTAGCCTTGACCCAAACCTGCGGTTTCATTTCTTGAAACACACTGTCTACTTTCCCTGTGTATGCCTCTATGCATTTCACTGTCCAATGCATTGTGCATGCATCTATGGACTTCACTCTGTACTTGCCCTATGCAGGCCTCTATGTATTTCGCTGTCTACTTTCCCTGTGCCTGCCTCTATTCATTTTCCTGTCTACTTTCCCTGTGCATGCGTCTGCAGTTTTTTGCTATGCATGCCTCCATGCATTTCACAGTCCACTTTCCCCATGCAGTTGAGCTGTGCAGAACGCAACGACTTTACTGGAGAAACCTTTCGGAATGCTTTCGGGAAAAAGTGCGAGGTCAGTCTCGCCAGGGGGTCGTCCGTAATCGGAACGAATGCCAAAGCAAGTAGGAAAGGCTGACGGTGCTGAGTGGCACTTTCACGAGCCCGGCCAAGATTGTCAATGCCACTGGCACATCTTTCGGCCGGGACTGAAAACGGCGTCCCTGTTGGCATCAGCGTGCGAATTTCGCTGTGTTTTTGCGTGGATATTTTGCCGCTGGTCTGATTGACGGAGTCTCAAAGTTTTACCCTAAAACGCAATTTGGAACGTTTGCGTTCCCAGCGTCACTTTCGACAATATTCAGCACTTCTATTGAATGCAATCGGTGAACGAGCCAGCCATGAACAGCAAACACGAGTTTCTGATGGGGATGGGCAACATAAAGAGAACAGCGCATCTGCGACGGAGACATACACCTTGCACAACCCCTTCAGATTGAGATATCTCAGGTTCAAAAACCAACCCATCACTCCTTTATGTCAACATTTCCTCATGACCCATGACTTCAGGACTTAAGGACATTTGCTGAAGGTTCAAACTTGTGCCGTTTGGAACAGCGTTACACAATAGCGTCGTAGTTCATTTTGCAAGATAGCGTTTCAGGAACTTGACTGACATTCAGCGTGGCGTGGACATGATTATGGCTTTCTGTTTTGCAGCGGTGTTGGCTCCAAGTTGTCGGGATGCCGCCTCATGGCCGATGTGACCCGCCATGACTGCTGCAGATATTCATGGCCTGACGCTGTCAAATATGCTTTGAGCAAACCATGCCCAGTCAGGCTTGCTGAATAATGAACACTTCTTTTTTGGTAGCCTTTGAAGGCTTCGATTTTGAAGGGAACGGCTCTACAGTAGGCACTTCCAACTGTGCCACGCATGCACGTTTGGCCAGGATGCACTATGGTTCGATCGAGGTTATGCTCAAGGCAGGCACTAGTGAAGGATTGAGCAGCTTCAATACTGGCCTTTGTTTGTTCCAACAGATGCTGGGAGTGTCCATGGCACGAAGACCGGCTGAATAAAGTGTCTCATGACCAATAATTGCGAACCAGGATCCAACAAATTTGGGATCCACACAAATAGGTCCTTTATGTTGCATTGATGGGACATGGGGCAAAAGGGAGGGGGACCGGGAACATTACCGCATTGACGCATCCAGAGCCGAACCCAATCTGCATTGAACGGTGCGACACAAGAGGTTTAGGTGCTAGGGAGCCTTTGAGTTCATCGTGGTCACACATTAGCAATGCGCATTCTGTCGGTTATGTTCGTCATTTTTGACAGACGTCGCTAGCCTTGGTGTATTTTGCATCCATGCTCTCATTTTGCTTACATGTTCGTTTCCACTCTGAGTGATGTTAAGAGCACGGCATCCCAGCACCAGAATTTCCCCCGAAACGCGTGTTTGAAGTTTGAAGAGGAATCTTGGTGGTTTGGATAAGTGACTGCTGGTTTTGGGACTTGAATGTTTAATGGGAAACCGCCCCCTTCCCTGCGAATCACCCATCCAAGCCCCCAATTAAGGGGAAACTGATGAAAGTAGTGGAGCCACGATTTACACTACATTGTCGCATCCTTCCTTTGTTTGCGCGTGCTTTGCCGCTGGCAATGGGCGAGCATTTTTCGCCAGGTGGGCTGATGCCGGCGGATGCTGCGGCGGGAGGAGACGTTTTGCGTCGCGCGGCAACATCTCGCGTACTGGGTCCGTTTCTCCATGGGCCTGGATTTTTGAGTCTCTGCAGCAAGATTTGGTTGATCACATTGGGGTTGAGAACTTGACCAGTGAACAAGTCATGAGATGCTTAGAACATGCCTTGGCAGGGGGCTTAGCTGGAACTTAGATGACACCCGGCTTTGTTTCGGGGCTAGTTGAAACAACAGCATTTGCCTTTGAAACGACACCCAAACGAGTCTGAGGCCAGATCAAGCGTCGGGTCCGGACCATAAGAGTTCTTTCCGGTGAACAAAAGCAAGGCTAATGTGCCGTGCTTCGCAATTCAAATTCACAAATACTAAACAAGCAGATATATGAACAAATCATGAGTTAGTGAGTACATATAGAAATAAACAAGTAAGTCAATGCACTATCACATGAATGAATCCATAAATACAGGGGTAGATCGATAAACAATTAAATAAGTACATATAAACCAGTACGAAAACAAACACATGAATCATGAAACACATCAATGCACATATATATATATATATACGTAAGGAAGTCAGTCAACAAGTAACTAAATGAATAAACAAGTAATTTGATAGATGATATATCAATGTATGCTCAAGCAACTCAGTAAATAAGTAGATACATAAACAATCACGTGAAGAAAAGCAATAAATTCACAAAAAGAAAGCAGACAAACAAATAACGACATAAACTAGTACACCGTTTTCAAATTGCTGAACAAATAAAATAAACATGAATTTACAAATACAGACTTCATAAACACATACTTCCAAAGTAAACAATCCGCAAAATAAGTATGTACGTACACAACCAACACAGCATAACTAGATCGATATATACATAGATACTACACAAAATGAACAAATCAGTATGCAAGTTAATACAAACAACTACATATACCTGCAGGAGCCTACGTTCGCCGTTGCCTCCGTTCGGGGGTGGGGTGGGGTGGGGGGTGTGGGGGGGGGTGTGGGGGGGGGGGGGGGGGGTGGGATGGTAGCGTCCACCGACCAGGGTTGGGTGGGTGGGGTGGGGCTGAGCCTCGTAAGGAGCTTTACAAGCAGCTTTATAAGGAGTCTTATAAAGAATCATAATGAGCCCTGTAAGAACTTCATAAGGAGCTTTATAAGGAGCCTTATAAAGAGCTTTAGAGCGAGCTCAAGGAGCTTTATAGGATAAAGGAGCTTCATAAGGAGCTTTATAAGAAGCTTTATAAGGAGCCTTATAAGGAGCTTTATAAAGAGAAATCAGGCTTGTAAGGCGCTTTGCAAGGAGCTGTATAAGGAGCTTTACAAAGACTTTAAAACGCGACGTAAGGCTCTTCGTACATGGGGTGGATGGGGTGGGGTGGGGTTCGGCAGTCTCGCGCAAGGCGCCCAAGTTAGTAAAGCAAAGCTCCAAATACTTCTGAGCTTCTAAAGGAAACAGCCGTGCCGAAGCACGGCTGGGAGCTATCAAAAACACAATGAGACGCAGTTACTTGCCCTCTAAGCGCGTGCAGGTGATGGCCTCTGCACACTTGACCCGGCACCCAGGTCCGGATGTCATGCCGAAAGCATTGAGGAACTACAGGCTGGCGTGCAGTAGCGGTCAACTTCGCCTTTCACCACGAGATGCCTTTGCTCTGGACAAGACCACTTGGATGGAAGGTTCGAAGAGAGAAAGCAGAGCGCTGCTTGCTGCCCGACATATATTCATAGGCGCAGATATAACAACGTAAATACTGTATATACATAAATCAATACATTAATGAGTAAACAAACGACAAGATCGATAGATAGATAGATAGATAGATAGATAGATAGATACATAGATAGACATATGACACAACAGGTAAATAGGTAGACAGGTAGATGCATAGATACATGAATAGATCAATTAACAAGTAAACACATAATTCCATATCCAAGTACATGAATGAACAAGTAAGTGAACACATAGGCACATATGTACATACCTATAGGATTTCAATTCGGTTTTAATTAGACTTCTTCTTTCAGCTTAGATGTGTTGTTAGGGGATTTCCTTTCCCAGGATTATTTGGTCAACCTTGTTGTTAGGATTTACCTAGATTTGCGAAGACAATAGCTTTAGTCGTTTTTTTTGGTCTCAACTAGAATTCAGATAGCATTTTTTTTTTTAAAGATGATGTCAGCACATGCTGCAAGGTCTCAATCTTCTTAGACCTCAGAGGATTTGTTGGTGGGACCTTGCAGCATTTTGAGGCCTGAAAGCTCTTAAATGCTGTAAGGTCCCACAAAACACAAGACAATTATAGACATTATAGAGAACTTGATAATAGTAGACGAGTGTCATGTTCAGATCTTGCATGCTAGCTCTTCTTAACAGCCTGCGATCTCGCAGGCGGGCTCTTTTTGATGGCCGCGCCTGGTCCACGCAGATTCAGTTATGATCAACAGACTGTCCTGCAAACCGATGCAACTTTCATGATATATTTTGAAATAAGCATTCCACAACACACCTTATTCATTTCCACTTGAGTGAAACGGAGCTCAGCTTAGTATTCAAATTCTCATGGAAGCTAGAGATTCTGGTGTCTATTTTGAAATCCAGTTTAAAGGAGGCATCATACTGAATTCTTATTCGACACTAGACATTGTACTGAAGTAAAGTTGTGAGTAACACATTGAACATCCGTATTGGAAAGGACATTGTATCTTTTTGAGGCCTGAAGAATGTTGTAAGGTTGAAGAAAAAACAGTCTTTGGCAACCCAAGAGCTCTATGACTCGAACTCGTCTGTCTCTGCGCAATGCTGCGGCACATGGACAGTACAGCTAAACGAGGGTAGCTGCTTCCAAGTTTTAACACTCTCAAGCAGTACTCACTGCTTCCAAGTCTGGGCTTTTTGCACCATGTGTCGTCTTCCAAGTGAACACCAACAAGTCTGGCAAAACTAGCCTTAGTTTTCTGACCAGAATCTGGTTGGGAACAAACTTCCAAAATACGAAATAACAACAGCAACAACCAGGACAAAGCCATATTTTTTGTGATCGAAGGCGTAGAGGTAGATCATGTGACCATATGTGTGCATATATATATATATATATATGTATACATTATATAGATCTATTAATCGGTTTGCAGGTCCATAAGCGCATGTAGGTTTCTTTGGTGGGCGATCAACATTTTGTTTGATTGTGAGGGGACCTCTGCTAGTTTCTTTTCGCGCAGGCCAGCCGCTTCAACTACCTAAGAGGATTTTGGCCGCAGGTGCGGTGGGGGGTGGGCCTTGCACGAGGGAAAAGCAGCGAACTATTCTTTGATATTCCTTGATCTCTTTGTAGGAAGCCAACATGACGCACCCAGGTAAAGTCTACCTTGTGGCAATTCAAAGGTGGAACCCTGAGCAAAAGTGCCTAGTCTGCGAGTAGTGAATATGCCGGAATGAACAACACAGCGCCAGCATGGAACAGTTCCAGCATGCAAGTGCTGGACCCACAGTTTGGAAAGTTCGTTGCCTCATGAGCATGGGTGACCATGATATAAGTTCGATTCAACATGACAACACACGATACCATTTGCCGTCTTTGAGCCGCCTATGACACGCATCGAGACGAGGGAACCATAGGTTTGTTCCTGGTATGAGCTGTCTTCGAGGGGTTTGGAGGTTCCTCGGCCCAGGTGCGGGGGGCATTCGTGAGGACGGATACCTTTACGTGAGTTCGCCCATCAGTGCGGCCCCCGAGCTCGACGTACCATAGGCGCTCGAATCATGCACCCAAGAGGCCAGATCCTGAACGAAAGTCATGCGCCTCGGAGGAATGTTGACCATTCAATCAACCCCCCTTATTAGTCACCGTGTCTCCTGGAAGAAAGACATCCCCACCAAACTGGAATCCCCCATGATAAATGGGGGGTATTAAATAATCATGGCCGACATTCTTTTGCAAGACTCTCTGTGCAGGGCAAGCAGATCTCCTTACAGCAAGCCTCTCTCGAGGCCTGCGGAAGGATCGGCGCAACGAGCCAGCGCTCGCACGGGCGAGATTTCCGGAGCACCCCAGCCATGCTTAAGCTCTGGGTCAAGTGGGGTATTGCCATTTGTGTTCAGTCTGTTTTCCAGGAATGCTGAGGTTTGGGCTTTCGAGTTGCTTAAGTCTTAAATGTCTATCCCTGATGCGGATGGTCACTGAATTGGAGAAAGTTGCAGACCTCATCAATTGGTAAGGGTTTCTGTACCGTTGCTTTCGTTCCCACACGCCGCGGACATCGGCAGGGGACTTCCTGCCGGCATGGCACGCACAACGGTCAGGTGTTGATGCCTCACCAAACTTGCACCATGGTCAGAACATTTTCTTGCTTGTCATCGACCCTTGAGCAGGGCTCAGGGAGCACCGTGCAAGCACCCTTTCGCAGGCAGCACTACGAACCCACAGGAGTTTGACTGCGGCTCACTGGTATACCATGAATACCAAGCATGTCTTTGAGAGGCAACTCTCCGGGTGCAAAATGGACGCTGACGGGGCAAAGGAGTGCCCCCGCTTGTCCCCAGCCGCCGGAGCCGAACCTGTCATTTGTCAGGGGCGCGGTGCGAGGCGCCGGCACGCGGGCATCCTCTGAGAGCCCCGTGGGCTGCATAATGAGCTTCCACTCATCGCTTGGTTTCACGTCGCCTGGCATCCTCCTTCTTTGACGCTGTTCTGTTTTGTTAAACAGGAACACCACCAGAAGGCCAAGATCTCAGCGGAGCATTCTTTTTGAGACGAACAAAAATGCAGGAATGGTGGAAAGACGACATCTCCCGTTAAGATGATTTCCAGCTAATTTGTGTTGAGGGGGTAGGTGTATTGAATGTCCGACGAATGATTTGATCATTGAGATAGGTCAGAACTCCAAGATGCATGGCAACCAGCACTGGTGGTTTGCAGCAGCCAGATATCGGCAGCATCCGCTGTGTCGAAGTGCACGTTTAAAATTGAAAGGGTTCGCATGTGGGCCAATCTGAAGAGGATCCGGCAGGTTGGCGCCGTTGCTAGCTAGCTTGATTGATAGGGGGTGCCTAGGTTTCGAAGATATTCTTTACTTGGAGGGAAACACCCTTCGAATGATCCACCAGGTTAATTGATCCGGGGTCAGCATTACAAAGAAGTTGCCACAGAGCTTCATCAACAAGTCATTTCCGAACCTGATGCATGGTTAATCTCCCTTGGCCAAAAAAACATCAATCCTGTACACAGGGAAACTGACTGATTTCACGCTTTTTGAGGATGCACAGTGTGTTCCGTTGTAGCCATCCCTTCGGGAATTCCTGTATCGGACGCCATGTGCGCTCGGTATCCAACAGTGGTGGATCGTCAAGATAGGTTCACAAGGTTGGAAGTCACCTGCATACCAGGCAGGGCAGACTCACACAAGTGGTCGGGGCTGACCAATTCAGGCCAACGTCAGCCTAGATTACAATAGTAGGCAAATAATGCTAAGATGGACCGCGCCCCATCCCTGAGGCTGACATTGTGGTGTCTCCTTGAGTTTGCCCAGGCTCTGTGCGCAGACGAACACCATCTACAGCAGGCATTTCTTTGCCGTGGCCCTGCTCTTCATCAACATGTCATGCCCAGCAGATGGGCAATTTTTCAGCTGACTCGAGTACTGTACATAGTCACTCTTGATTTCCTGAACCGGTTTCATCAGGAGAGTTTGTTTTTCTCTTGGGCTTCCGTCCGGTCGCTAAGCCCAGGCTGACTCCTTGTGTGAAGTCACGTGATCAACGAGAGAATGCAGCCAGCTGAAACTTGCTCAGCGCAGGTGCCCGGCAGGGCGGATGCATGTGGGTGGATGAGAGGCGGGAGACGAGTCGAGTCGCAGATCCAAGATCCAAGAACAAGATCCACGGGATCTGCATAAACGTCAAAGAACAAGGGCATCTTGTGCAGGAGGGTGTGGCCACACAATGTGTAGAGTTGGTATACACTTCTCCAAAAGTTTGTTTGTGGACCTCCGCCGAGCAGGCTTGCCTCTCATGCGCTCGATCTGAAGCCTGATTGTAAATTGGGTACGCCCGAACTTTGGTCAAAACTGGCACCTACCGGAACTGGGATGTGGCATGAAGGGCTTTCGGCTTGTGATGAGAAGATGTGAGAGCGAGACCAGCGTGGACAGGTGCAAGCAGAAAGTGGCGATCTTCCTAGCCACAGCAAAGGAACATTGTCGTTTCCCGTTGACAGGTTTGGGTCGGATGGAGAATCTTCAAGCCTGTGTTGCCAACGACCCGGGCTTCGTGCTTGTTTCAGTCCCTGCTGGACTTTCGCAGGCGCCGCGATGTCTCAGTGGCCTGCTCAGGGAGTACAAGATGGGCGTGGTTGAAACGGACGTTGAAACGGACGGCAATGACCTGGCTGCCTCAAGAGAGCGGCCCCCTCCCTTCGTTTCAGAAGCAAAGGGTTGACTTTGCATGGCTTTGCAAGATGATATCGTAGGGGGAGGCTGGCAGCTGGTGATCAAGAGGCCGACAGCTTGCAGTTGATTCCGTCGATTTGCACCGTAAGACACCAACAACTTCACATCACGCCTTTGCATCCATCAATCGAGTTTCGGTCAAAATGCCTCACAGAAGAACAAGAACATGTACACTGTCGTGCGTCGGCCTTGCCCTGATTGACATGATTTTGATTGTTGGACGCCCACCTTGTAGACCTCCGGCACTAGCAGTTCAGGTGAGACATCGGGCAGCTACGCCCAAAGGCCAGCTGCTGTTCGCGGTGTTTGGATCCTCGTGATATTTATATTCTGCAAAAGAGGATGCCCTGCCAGATTGGAATTCGCGAGGTTGGTGTGTCGGCGTTTTGGGCATGTCATGTCCAAAGTGCATTTCCCATTCGACGCGCTTCGTCGGAGCCATGACTATATATGAATTCGTACATGTACATAATACACATATCACATATAATATGATATACTTGCACCGGCATGTTTTTATATGGGTATGCTTGAATATGAACGACTCTTGAAGACGGTTGGTTTCCTTTAGGTTTCCCTTTGGAACCATCCAAAGATGGGTCCGTTTTGAGACGGACACAGTTGCGTCTTGGAACTGATGGCCTCAGCAAACACTGCAACCAAGCTGCACACATACTCGCATCATCACAACACCCGACATGTATGAACCCTTCCTCGTTTGAGATAATGCGAAATTACCAACGACAGAAGCCATCCCCTGCCGTTCTGCTGGTTGCTTCTCAGAAACCGCACCCGGCGCAAGGTTCGAAAGACGAGGCCATGGGAGTCTTTTTTGTCCAGTGCTTTCGTGGCTTCGGATGCATTTTGGGGTTGCCTTTGCCCTTTACTTTCCTCTGCCCCGCAAAGAGGCACATGGCCGCGTGCTCTCAACGTGCTGCTAGCTTTTTAATAAGCAGCGAGTGGGCGTTCTGGATGCGGCTCTTGCGAAGGGAAGCTATGGGATTGGTGGAAGGGATGTTTTGGGAAGCTCTCCAAACATCGCAGGGCAAAACTTGCGGCTTTTCCTCCCAGAGGCAGCTGCCAAAGTGCCTGCTAGCGCCGGTCCAAAGTCTGTGCTCCAAGATGGTGATGGGTTGGGTGAATCTAGCCTTTGACCTTCCGGTGGTCAACCAGCTTTGAATTGTCCAGTTCCTTACCACATTCCCATATGAGCAGCAAACCAGCATGCATTTTGAGCGTGCCCATTTTGAGCTGCGGCAGTACGGGAAGCCGATTCACTTCAATGCGCGGCCCAAAAGTTCTGACTTGGAACCTGGAAAATACTCGGTAAACAAGATTGACACATTATTGTAAAGGGTTTCCCGTGCATTTTCTCCCACAGGCTTGGCAAAGGGGTTTTGTGCCGACAGATTGCAGAATTTGCGAAGAGAGATGGTGCGGAGATATCCTCGCAGATTGCAGACGTGCTAGCCAAGTTTCTGCATGATCGAATCTAAGTGTTCCCAACCGCACTTCCCAAACCAACAGTCAACCAAAAATCAGCCGGCCAACAAACGAACCAACCAACCGACCAACCAAGCCAAGCAACCAACCAACCCAGCCAGCCAACCAGCCAGGCATCTAGGCGACCAGGCAAGCAACCAGTCAACCAGCCAGCCAGCCAGCCAGCCAGCCAAGCGTCTGAACAAGCTGCTTGCTGGGCCATTGCCACCGGTGCCCAGGCCGAGCCCGGCTGCTGATCAGGAGATCTATGACCAGGTCACTACTCTGGTTGAGGACCTGGGGAACATGCAGCTATTCACAAACAAAGCAAAAGGGCCGCAAAAATGCCAATCGCCTGAAAGTTTTTAGATTTAATGTGTGAACACTTTGGACCTGTGCAGCAAAATTTCAGCCTAGTCCCGTCCACTGTTTATCCAACCAGCTTGTGAACCCGGGCATAGGTCGATGTCCGGGTTCACTTGTGCCCCCCACCCCCCTCCCCGTTAGCTGGGAACGAAGGGTTTCCCAGGAGGTGTCCAATGGCACCAAGTCTGTCCCATTATTTGGGGTGTTGCGCAGTTCCAGTGGACTGCAAGCAATTCAGAACTCCCTGAAACTTTGTGTTGTGGGTTCTGAATGTTGGTTTGATCTCTCCATGCTCATTGGGTGGAAAGACACTCGACCTTGGGATCTGAATGTGGCCCAGAAGCCACTAGTTACTGAAGGTTTGACAGCGTAGAGGACATGCCCTCTCGGGGTCATGCGTTTGTTGCATTTTGTTTGAGAACAGGTTTGGATTGACACGCAGACCCTTCCTTGAGTTCAGCGTTGACTTGATTAGAGTGTTGCATTTCGCAACGGGAGGTCTCTTGACAAGCGTAGCATCCTTGAAGATTTCCTGCTGGGAATTGATAGGTCAGATCTTCCTATAAATGAAGTTCATTGCTACTTGGAGGCAAGCGCAGGAAGCTGGTTCTGCGATTGTGGGCCCCAGAAAGCCGGTGGTCCTTGTTCTCCTTACTCGACTTCGCGCTGATATCTTTTGAGTTTTGAGCAAGGGCGGCGAGGGGGTTTCCCGCGCCCGCTTTGAGGAGCTCGAGGCGGCGCGGGCGCGGGCCCTGGCCGCGGAGAAGCAGCTGCCGCGGGCGGTGGAAGCGGCGGCCTCCGCGCTGGAGATGGGTTGACGAGTCGACGTGGGAGATGGGTTGGGACGGGGTGGGTTGGTTGGGGTCCTCTGGAAACAGAATTTGTAGACACATCTTCTGTTTGCCTCGGTCCCTCCAGAGAGCATGGTCCTGAGGTGTCACCATTCTTGTTTTGGCATGTGTCATATATGTACATACATACATGCATGTATATATATATATATATATATATTTATTTATATATTATGTGTGTGCCACCAGGTTTTCTGATCTTACCCTCTTCGAACTTTGCTTTGAAAGCCGTCTCAGTGGTTTGAGCCTGCTGGCTGGACGGGCCGACTTTTCACCAGAGCAGTTACGCAACAATTGACAGCCAAGCTGAGCTGTAGGCTTGATCATTGTACGTTTTGTGAGCTTTACTGATTGCCCTATGAATTTCAATCTATCAGGCAGCACCCATCTGTGAAAGTAAATGACCAATTGCCCCATTTTGATCATCCCCTTTGCTTACATAAAAGGAATTGTGCTGTCATGGTGTAGCCTGTAACATCATCCTCAATCTGGCAACCGCCTTGTGGCTGACTTGCCGGCCCGCGAGGAGCCCTTGCTTCGCCTGCGCGATGCCGGGGCCGCCTGCGACCTCACGCCGGGCGCGTAGAGCGAGAAGATACTTGGAGAGTGGGTGGGTAGGTTTTTCACAGGATGCATTTTGGCAACGTTGAATATTTTCATTTAGCAGCTGATCGAGAGGACCTTTGCTGTTGAAACACGTGACATTTGGATGTATCATTTGCGGAACCCTTTAAGGGCCCGTGATGTTGGGATGTATCTTCCAAAAAAGTCCGATTTCCGCGCCCGGCAGGCAGATGCCCTGGCTGCCGCAGCTGCTGACTGTCTTCCGGAACGTCCTGCGCACTGCCGTGGACGGGGCACCGCACGGGTCCCAGCCCAGAACGAGCGGCAGAGGGCCCAAGGGATCAGGGCACGGAGCGACGAGATCAACTGAGATCTCCCAAAACCGCTGGCTGGCCGATGCTCGTGGGAAGATGTTTTCTTGTGTCCATATTTTGTGATATCAAAGGAAAAGGAAAGCCAGTCTTCGTTGCGCATTATTCTCACGCACTCCTTCCAGTTCTGCTCATCTGAAGGTTGGCGGCATGTCAGAGGATTGCCCTGCGCTGTTTGTTCAAGTCTTTCGTTTCTGGCTCGCTTCATTTTTCCCCCGTCGGCTCGACTCGCTTGCATCTTGGACGAGTGCTCCACGGCAGTCTTGTGAACGACGGTGGACAGAGAAGAGGTTTTTTTTTCAGACAGTAGTCTGCTTGCACCAGCTTCCACACAAGTTACAGGTGTACATCAAGAACATTTTGCAGGCTCCGTTTGCCCATAATTTCGCCTTTCCCTGGGTAAGCATCCCCGATTAGCCACAATGGACAAGGGGTACGTGAGTGCCTTCCAAAGAACTGAACAACTTGCTCGGGGACCGGGAAGTCGTAAAGTCCAGCGTGTCTATCTGAAGTTTCATGCTTCGCTTGTTAAGGTCTCGGCCAGACAGCAGTGCAGGCGGGGGCGTGTTGGTGTTTGATGTGTGCCCAGTCAAAACTACCCCATTGGAAATCATTGCAAAACGAAAAGCCGAAACCAACGGGAAGCAACACATCTTCGGGTCCAAATGCCGTTAGAGCATTGCAACACGCACATAGATGGGTGTGAAGTTTGTGCTGGAACAGTCATATTTTTAGGTGAGCGGTTTGGTTTGAACTATTTTGATGCGTCTAGAATCTGTCAATTCTCTGGCGGAACCGCCGAAGTTGTACACCAGGTCCCCGCATGTCCAATCGAGAGATCAGAAATTTCCACCGGGAGGGACGCCTTAAGCGGAAGAGAGTGTGGAGTTTCTCTTCGAGTGACAAACAATCAGAACCCACCCTTTCCTGTGAGTTCTCCAACTGTGTGCTGACTGTACCTATTAGTTTGATTGTTACTTCCTATACGAGGAGTGCAAGTTCCATGGGCAGAACATTTCCATCAGCTGAGAGTGATTGCCGTCATGTCCGCAGGCAAGAGCCAGAACCAACATTAGCGGAACGAAACGAAGAATTGCAACAGCCAGATGCCCTCTCTGAAGGAAACTGCATACGGGGGTTGACGAAAATAGCGCTGGTTCCTTCTTGGACCCGTTTCGGTGCCGCCGGTGCGTGCCGCCTTTCAAAGTGGACGCCAGAAAGGAATCTATTTTTGAGCCCAGTCTATGCTTCCCCGTCCATGGGCTGCGGGGCACCAAACACTTTGGAGTCCATGGTGGACTTCACCCCCCCCCCCCTCCCTGTCATCTGTTTTCTTAGTGCCAACTTTAGGGGTGTAGGTTGCATGGAGCAAGGGTCCTACACATCACGTCTTGGCTGAGCGCGCGGCGCAGCACGGTGCTGCGCCTTGAAAAGGAGGAAATAGCACAGAAGGCGACTTTTGTCAGAATCCACAACATATCCTCCTTGCACTGGCCGAAGTCGCCCCTCCTCTCAGATTCTGGCGCGGGCATCAGCGCCCAAGGCTGGCTACAAGGTGTTGATTTCGTCAATCGTTAGCTGGTTGTTTGGATTGGTGGTTTGGGGATTGGAGCAGTTGGTTCTCGTGGATAATTGGGAAACGACCCCTGGGCACAGAGTATTGCTTCGCGCGTAGACTTTGAAAGCCTACAATCTTGAGGCAGCCTTTGCAAAGCAGTGTTTAGCATGTCAGGTCATTTCATTCTAAACAAACTACTCTATGATCCATCATCAGCATTTGTTTAAATGCTAAGAACAGCCGGTGTGCTTCTGAATTGACTGCCACAGGCTCAGCATCTTACAGCGGTATGGAGATTTCCCTAAACCACCCCTACCATTGTGGCTTCGTTTTCCTGCACCTTTCTTTTTGCGGGCGCCGGCGGTTTCTCTTAGGGTCTTAGGTTCATTCAAGGCCGCGGAATCCGGATCCGCAGATCCCAACTTGGCAGAGGCCTGTTGGCTTCTGTCATCTTCCGAAGGAGGTGCCCAAGAAGTTCCCTAAGGAATCCGATTCAGTATGGATTCCATTTCTCGGTTGCTGACTAAACCACCAAGAAGACTGTTTGTCTAGGTTTGGGTCTGTGGTTTCCCTCGCACATGCTGCCAGCCTCAGACATGCTCGAGCAACGCAGGGCTTGTTTTGTTTGCTTTGTCTTCACGCAGTTTTCATTGACTCTGCCCTGTTTGCTCTCAATCTTGCTTGGTGTGGTGTACTTTTGTTTTTTGACCGCCATTTGTTTGGCAACCGTAATGCCTGAATACCACTGTCTTTGCCAGTCAGTGCGCTTGTGGTTTGGGTATTCGAGCCCTTGGCTGTTGTGCAAAGTTCATTGAGGATCAGCGTTTACCATCTGTCCTCCTATTCTCCTGAACTCCTAGGTTGATTGTCTCCAAACCTGGCCCTAACCTCGTAACCTTCTTCAACCTCCTCCTAGCCTCCTAGCCTCCTAACGCTCTAACCCCAAACCCCTAACCTCCTAACCAATTCGGGGTACCCTCTCATCAAAATGGAAGTGCACAAACCTTCAACAAGAAACGTTCCTTGCTTGTGGGGCTACCATCCTCCGTAAAAAGGCCCCAGACGTCCCTTGTGTGAGTGTGTTGTGTGAGGGGTCCCTTTTTCGGACACAGTTCACCCAGGTCGGAACACACTGGTACTTGTTTAGTTTGTTGACGACCGCTATTTTTCTTCGCGCCGGTCCTCGGTCCTTGCCAGGCGCTGCCGCCGCGGCCGCTGCTGCGGCCGCTGCCGCCATCACGGCCTTAGGCGGGAAGCTGCAGGTCCAGCGGGTATGACGTTTAGGGACCCCCTGAGCATACTGCAATTGAGTTTGCGTTTGTTTTTTAGGGCATCCTTTTCAGGTTAGTTTAAAGGGAAACTACAAGGAGAGCTACTATTTCGGGGTCCCCGATTTTAACACATCTCCACATCCCCCCACTGAAGGGTCTCCATGTAGTTATGCATATGCTGAAGAGGGGGGACCCTATAAGTTGGTGGTTTTCCTCTGGTTTCCCTTCGGCAGCCAAGCAAAAAAGCCAACCCGAAGAAGAATATGGAATAGAGGGGCCAGCAATGGACCTCAAGATCCTGGTTGACAAAGAGTCCTAGTTTACTCGCAACAGCTACTTGGAGTCCTCACAGAATTTGGCAATTCGTAGTTACCCTTGGTTGGAATCTTCATATGGCTGTGAATTTGCATTGGGGAACTTTGACGTCCACCCCACCACCCGTAGCAGTCAAGCGGGATTTTGTCTCCGGACTTCATATTATGATGGTTTTCCCTTAATTACGTACCATAGACAGACTTCACGTTCCTGTGGCACAAACACACACACACACACACCTGCACAGATGTTTGACTACGATCGTCTCAGCATCTTTAGGCTTCACAGGGCATGCCACTTTGTGCCAGGGTTCTCTTGTACTCTCTTCGTGTCTGCGGCAGCTGATCGTCGGAGGCTGCTGTAGTTTTAGCATTGCCCGAGTTGAATGCAACTGGCTGGGGCTCGCCATGGTAGGATCAACAGTCACGCAGGGCACGCCAAAGGTCTGTGAGCGGCAATCGCCTGAGCCAAGATTGCTTAAACCATGGCTCCAGCTTGGAACACAGACAACATGGCCCTACAGTGTACACCGAGATTGCCAGGCACTTCAACCTCTCACCAGGTGCGCTCAGCAACCTGGGCCTTGTGCGAGGCATCGAATCCGCCTTCGCGCCCGCGTGTTTCCTTTCCCACTCATCTGGGCCTTGGGCCTCATCGGCTGTGCCTTGTCGCCGGATTTGCTTTGCATGACCCTCTTCCGGGCTGTGAATGGCATTGGCCTTGGAATTGTGCAGCCTCTTTTCTTCAGCCTCGTCGCGGACAAGAGCAGCACTTACGGACGGGGCAAGGCCTTTGGGGGTTTGATCTTCACGGGCCAGCTGGGCCAGACCGCCTTCGCCACCTTTGCCACTGTGGCTGGCAAGCAGGTTGCCAGCATCGCGGGCTGGCAATTCGCGCTGCTTGTAATTGCAATTTTACGCGCCTTTGTGGGCATTGGAGTGGGCATGTTTGTCAAGGAAACCAAAGAGAGGGACCAACGAGCAATGCTGGAGGTCATACTTCAAGAGACTCCGAAGCTCGGCAAGATCTGTTGCTTGCCCACTTTCCTGGTGATCGTCGGCCAGGGCATCTTTGGCACTGCGCTCTGGTTTGCCTTTAGCTACTTGAGAATGTGGCTGGAGCAGAGCTGTTTTTCTAAGCAGCAGGCCGCAACCATCTATGCTTTCTTCAACACTAGCACAAAAGCTTCCAGCATCATGGGTGGCTTCTTGCTGGACATGGTCTTCAGGCGCTGCCCGGATCATGGGCCTCCGACGATCTGCCAGTTCTCGGTGGGCGTGTCGATCCCACTCTTCGCGCTCATCCTCTTTGGGCTTGGTGACCTGCAAAACGGAAACAACCAGAAGGAGTGCTCGTTAAAGGACGCGCGCAGCCTGGCCTCAGGTATGTTCCGGGTCTCCCTGGGGTCCTTTAGAGTGTGCTTCATCTTCTACTGCTTTGCGCACTGCACCTATCCCAAGGATCGTCTAGAGAAGCTGTGGTCACAGGGCGTTAGATAGACTGCTCATGGGATTTCATGGCCGAATAATTAGTTGCTCTGTGCACAGAAGCATGTGCAGCTCGCTTCCCGCGGACGTGTTCACAGATGGCTGGCAACAAGTGCAGAGAGTCGTTCTCGCGTTTCCTGAGGGGGAAACATGGGATGCATTGCTTTCTGCCCGAATTCGAGGAGTCATGCTTATTGTTCTGGCATCAACATGCCGTCCTGGCGCCCGGTGCCGTCAGAGCTTGGTGAATCGCCATTTCTGTGTTTGGCGTGCTGCTTAAACCACGCGCTGCCATTGGGTCCGCCAGTTGCCACGACTTGAAGGGCTGTGGCAAAAATCACAAGCAGCGAGTGGGGCTGGGATGGGCAGGAGTGTGACAATCCGAGCCCACCCTTAACCGATAGTCTGACCCAGTACCAACACATCCTCCAAGCCAAAGCCAGCCCTTCCCCTCAAAACCAACCCTCCTTTCAAATCCCAAAACTTGAAGCCCTCCTTTAACCAACCCATCAACCCGGACTAAGCCAGGATCATGTTGGCATGGCAGAGAGTGTTGCTGAATACCCTGCGGGACTGTTCATTGTGAAAGAAAAACGTACGAACACCAGCCGGCAAAGCGATCCAGAACGAATTCGCCTTGGTGTATGCTTTTGTTCTTTACCCCCAATGAGTTCCCTGTGTTACATTTTGTGAACCTTGCACGGTCTGCCATGCAAATCGCCGTGGTCGGATCTGCTAATCGTCGAAAGGAGGTCCTGACCCTCGCGCGCGTGAGTGCGACCTTTTGCGGGAGAAGGTGCGGAAACAGGTGCGGCTCGGGCTGCGTGAGGGTTGGATGTAAAAGAAAGCGCAAAGGTGCTTGCTGTGTGCTGATCTGAGTGAAACATATATGGAAGTTGATCAAAAGGTCCTTGTAAGGTCTCACTATGTAGAGGTCCATCACGCTGTAGGATTCAGGGCCCGCGAAAGATTGGAGAAAGAGTTCGCGTTTTCTTCGGCGTTAAAACGGAGCCGGCAAAGTATACTTCCTTCATGTCGACTGCAAAGCCGCGACGTTTGAGCCTGTGCATTTCCTTGCTTGTGATGAGTGCTGCCTTTATCACGCTTGTGCTGAGCAATTGTGACACTATACTTATACTGAAAAGTGGCGACTCCCGAGCCGGGGCTGCCAAAGTGTACTCCCTGTGCAACACTTGCGCTGAAAGTGGCGAGCTGGAGCTGCCAAAGTGTGCTTGCTTTATTACGCTTGTACCGCGACTCTCGAGCCGGAGCTGCCAAAGCCTCTTCCTTTACTACTCTTGTATTGAAAAGCTTCGACATTCGAGCCGGAGCTGCGAAAGAGTATTTCCCTTACTATACGTCCTGGACTTTTAATCTCCGGACATTTCTTGGGTGTTTCAGGCGGCCTCTACGATTTAGCGAGTTTTACTGGTTTAAGACAGTTTGCAGGTTTTGGGGGAGATTTGGGGCAATTGCGGGAGCTTTGCGGTCAACATAGGTTCCTTTTCTGCACCCTGCAGCTTTGGATCGCCGTTGCATGCTTGGACAAACTTGCGGGCTGCCTCAAGTCATTGATCCCCAAGGCTTCCTGATCTGGCAGAAGTCGCGAGAATTGCAAAGTGGACACTTTCAGGAGTTTTAGGAGTTTGCCATTTAGTTTGCACAACGGTTTCCCGAACATCGAGAGCGTGTGTATGTGTCAGGAAGACGAAGGGCCAGGTTGTACTGAAAAGTGGCGACTTCCGAGCCGGAGTTGCAAAAGTGTACTTCCTTTGAGTTGCGGACGTTCGAGCTGGAGCCAAAGTGTACTTCCTTTACTATTGTTGGGACGAAGCTGACCAGAGTTCAAAGTGTAAACAACCTGCTGCAGAATTGTTCGATATGCTTGCGCTGCTTGTAGTCATGCCAGTTGGCAAATGACCCATGTGAACTTCATCCAATGCCAACCCAACGCCGAGAAAGATACATCAGTCGGATACCAGTATAGCCGCCAAAGCTGCGGCTCGGAAGCGTTGAAACAAAGAAGTACAGCTTTGAGCTCGCTTCTCTTTCGTTTTTTTCTTTCTTTTTTTTCCTTTTTTTTTTCTTGGGTTTGTTTCCCTCTCTCTCTCTCTATGCCCCTCTCTCTCTCTCTCTCTCTCTCTCTCTCTCCCACCTGACGAAAGTGCAAATGCAAACGCAGCACACTTGTGAAGTTCGACTGCGAGGAAGGTCTGAGAGGTTTCCGCATCACGAGTTTTGGAAGGGCGACCCCGCTCTCTCACCATTGAAGATTTCGTTTCGCGAGGATGTAGAGCTGAAGTCGGCCAAAGAAAGGGAGCAGCTGCTGCAAGACCGGCTGGAGGCGATCGTTTTTTCTGAACGGAGAGGGGAAGCGATAGCCAATTGGTGAGGGCCGAGGCTGAAATTTGTTTTTTCCTGTATATCTGGAAAGTCCAACTCAACATTGCAAAGTCTCGTGTGTGTACCGCACAACAAGGAGGGGGCAACTATCCCAGCAGCTCTGTCCCAGACCGCCAGCCTATGCAAGGGTTCAACCCAAAAAAATTGGGAAAGGGGGACCCAAGCATGGGTTTTAAGACAAAAATGAAGGACCCAGTTGCAAGAAGATGACCGACCGACTCCCAGACAATGAACCTGAACTCCACATAGGTGGCTTCGAGCCGTGCATTTGACTCGCTGGCTGAAAACTACATTGGGGATGTCCAGTGAAGGTTCCAGATGTCCGGGCGGGCCTCTCCACTGGTCGCCAGGAGCTTCAAAAGGAAAGGGAGAGCCTCTTGAACCATGCCAGCGAGGCGACGGCCTCCTTTGACAACTGGGGGGGAACACGCATCTCAGGTGCGATGTCAAAGACTTGTGGCTCTTTAAAGCGGACCTCCGGGTCTATGACAGGAAGTCCTTTCATGAAAAACCTTCCTCCCAGCGCAGGATCTTTTGCCACGCGGCCTGTCCTTTAGGGTAGGCTTCTAAGAGCAATCGGCTGTTCCTACCCACGCTGCAAGGGGTGGACCCGTGAAGAAGCGAAAGCGCATGAATGGGCGCGCCAACTGAAGCTTCAACATGCGTGTATCTCTGGGGCCTCTCATGTCAGGCTTGATTGCGCCAAGCCGGCAATGGCTATGTTTGGCGGACATTTGTGAACACGTGGAAGAGGGGGAGAGAACTTTGAAACTTGCAGCAGCATCATGTTAGCTCAAGATACACGACATACCACAGGAGTGACGTATGCTGTTTGTGCAAATGGGATTCGGGCCTCGCAATCTCCGGCAGGTGAGTCACTGCTTTTTCTTGCGTCCAACACAGAACTCATTAGGCTATGACATTTAATGGTTGGAACGGTCTCAACCATGGCCGGTGGACAAAAACCGTATTTTGATGTCCAGCAACAGGTTCAAGCACAATACATTGTAACATCATACGCATTTGATCGCATCGCAACACGCCCGGCGCATGGCGGGCGTGGATGAAAGCCGCCGCCCTCCTGTTGGTTGGCCGATGCGCCGCCTGCTGGGCCGAATGCCGCGCCGTGGGTGCGTACTGCCCCGAGTTCTGCTGCCAGCCGCCGGATGGGGGGAACCCCTCCTGCTGGGACGCGCTGGGGGTCTTCAGCTATGACACCTGCTGCAGGCGGGATCCGGCAAAATGTTGGAAGAACACGGGCAGAAAGTGAAGACCTTTGAGCGAAATCAGAAAGGACCAGCCCGATGTTTTCCGGGATAGGCATCAACAAAAACTTATTAGGCATCAACAAAACACTTATTAGGCATCAAACAAAAAGCTTACTAGGCATCAAAAGCAACTTATGCTTATTCCTATGGGGAGAAGGAAGGAAGGAAGGAAGGAAGGAAGGAAGGAAGGAAGGAAGGAAGGAAGGAAGGAAGGAAGGAAGGAAGGAAGGAAGGAAGCCCCCCCCAACCACCCCGCTGATTTGTAGAAGGTTTGCAGTGATTAACGCACCCTTTGCTGAATCATCATTTCTTCGATCATCATCACCCTTCGTTGAATCATCACTTCTTCGAGCATTGGGGGGGCTGCCGCCCCCCCCAACCCCCCCCGCTGATTTTCAGAATGTTTACAGAGATTACCGCACAGGGGGGGCTGCCACCCCCCCCAACCTGATTTGTAGAATGCTTACAGAGCTGAACACACCCCTTGTTGAATCATCACTTCTTCGAACATCCTGGGGGGGGGCTGCCGCAGAGATTGCCGCACCCTTTGCTGAATCATCACTTCGTCAATCATCATCATCCTTTGTTGAATCATCACTTCATCGAACATCATGGGGGGGGGGCTACCGCCCCCCCCAACCCCCCTGCTGATGTGTAGAATGCTTACAGAGCTTATTGAATCATCACTTCCTCGAACATCATTGGGGCTGCCGCCCGCTCATTTCCAGAATGTTTACAGAGCTTAACGCACCCTTTGCTGAATCATCTCTCTCTCTCTCTCTCTCTCTCTCTCTCTCTCTCTCTCTCTCTCTCTCTCTCTCTCTCTCTCTCTCTCTCTCTCTCTTTTCTTTCTTTTCTGTAATGTTATGCTATTTCTGCATATGTTTCTTCACTGCTTGCGAAAATGCTGCACTTGCGTCAAACTCTGCACCGTACCTTGCCAAAGTGCTGCGCCTGCCGCGAAATCTGCGCCGTACCTTGCGAAAGAAATCTGCGCCTGAGCTTGCAAAAGTCCTGCGCTTGCCACGAAATGTGTGTGTGGAATGCTTACAGAGCTTAACGCACCCCTTGTTGAATCATCACTTCCTCGAACATCATGGGGGGGGCGGCAGCCCACCCCTCCGCTGATTTCCAGAATGTTTACAGAGCTTAACGCACCCTTTGCTGAAGCACCTCTCTCTCTCTCTCTCTCTCTGTCTCTCTCTCTCTCTCTCTTTTCTTTCTTTTCTTTCTTTTCTTTAATGTTATGCTATTTCTGCATATGTTTCTTCACTGCTTGCGAAAATGCTGCAGTTGCGTCAAACTCTGCACCGTACCTTGCGAAAGTGCTGCGCCTGCCGCGAAATCTGTGCCGTACCTTGCGAAAGTGCTGCGCCTGCCGCGAATCTGTACCTGACCTTGCGAAAGTGCTGCGCCTGCTTCGAAATGTGCACCTGACCTTGCAAAAGTCCTGCGCTTGCCACGAAATGTGTGTGTGGAATGCTTACAGAGCTTAACGCACCCCTTGTTGAATCATCACTTCCTCGAACATCATGGGGGGGGCGGCAGCCCACCCCTCCGCTGATTTCCAGAATGTTTACAGAGCTTAACGCACCCTTTGCTGAATCATCTCTCTCTCTTTTCTTTCTTTTCTTTTCTTTAATGTTATGCTATTTCTGCATATGTTTCTTCAATGCTTGCGAAAATGCTGCACCTGCGTCAAACTCTGCACCGTACCTTGCGAAAGTGCTGCGCCTGCCGCGAAGCGGCGCCTGACCTTGCCAAAGTGCTGCGCCTGCCACGAAATCTGTGCCGTACCTTGCGAAAGTGCTGCGCCTGCCGCGAAGCTGTACCGCACCTTGCAAAAGTGCTGCGCCTGCCGCCAAATGTGTACCTGACCTCGCGAGAGTACTGTGCCTGCTACGAAGTCTGTACCTGATCTTGCAAAAGTCCTGCGCCTGCCACGAACCCTGTACCTGCGCCTGCCACGAAGTCTGTACCTGATCTGGCAAAAGTCCTGCGCCTGCCACGAACCCTGTACCTGACCTTGCAAAAGTACTGCGCTTGCCACGAAATGAATATGAAAGTGCTGCGCATGCCACGAAATGCAGCAGTTTTTTTTGATACCTAAACAGTTTTTTTTGATCCTCTGAATTTTCATGTTTTTTTTTAAATACTAAATCAATGAGAATAAGTTTTTTTGATCCCTAATAAGTTGTTTTTGATCTTCAGAAATAAGTTTTTTTGATGCCTAATATGTTTTTTTTGATCCCTCACCCATGTTTTCCAAGGACAATCGTGGTGGAGCCGCCAAAGAAGCGGAGCTTTACCTTGGGAAATCTGTCACTTCCGCTGTACCGGGGACCCTCGCAGCACAACTCCCCGGCCTTCAATGAGCGCACGTTGGAGGAGCAAAGCTGGGGGTGTGATCATATTGGCCATGTTGCGATGACCTCTATCACACACTTTTTTCGGTGAATCCTATAAGGGACCCCTACCACCTTTGAATGGGGATGCCCTTATGTGGAGCACTCGTAGGAACGAGTTTATTGACTCAAGTTTCCCAAGCTGGTTAAAGTTACAAACTGTGGTAGATGAGAAGAAAGCATGCTTTCGCCACTTGCAGGGACTCCAAGGCATGCTTCATTCTCCAAGTAGCCAAGGTTGTCTGGAAATCCAGAGAATCCACACAACTCTACACCATGGCCATGGAGTTCAATGCGGAACCACCTCCAACGCGGTTGATGGACATGGCTCCCCACCGATTTGATGTCCACCAAAGGGCCCCTTATTAAACACCGCACCCAAATGACACAATGACTGGAGGCAAATACCAGGAGCAGTGGGCAGGGGGGGGGTAGAGACCACTCGCGGCCGTTCGCTTGCTCGAGGTGGCACTGGGTTTGTGGTTCATGCGGCGATGCTTAGCAGTGCGGCCCATCTCGGACATCGAGGATGCGCCCCTGGAGATCGGGAACCTTAGTTGCTCTTTAGTACACCCTTGGGCCTTTTAGCATGTTTGTTCCCTACACCTATCAAACAGTTTCACTTTTTGGGGGAGGTCACAGACTCAACCCAGGAACGTGTTGAGCAATTACTGGCCCAAGGGCGAGCGGCTCGAGGGAGTGTCTCGGCCCGGTGGGGTACCAAGACGGCTCTTGCGGCCTTTGAAAGAGGCGAAACAACGTGAACTGTCCAGTTGTAGACCCCATTTTAGCAACCATCCAGATGTTGGGTAGGTTGCATACTGCGCAGGATTTGGCTTCCTTGCTTTGTTCAAAGCAAGACTTTGATTTGGAGTCACATGGGAAGTACTGGTTCGTTGGAGTCCGCACAGTGGAGACTGCTTGTTGTTTTCAGCAGCCTTTGCCCCCTTTGACCTTGGATCGAGGTGTACCTACCCTGGCGCCTGGCTGATTTGTCCCACGGCCGCGACGCCACGGCCGTGTCGAGCTTCCGCGGTCTTCGGGTGCTCAGTATCTCCACTGTGGCGCCTGGGAAGATCGGGAAGTCAAAGTTCCAAGGATGCTCAAGTTTGATTCAAGAATCGCTTTTTTTAAAAGGGGCAGGGAGGGGGGTACAATCGCAGGGGTTCGCCTTTTGAGCCTATGGTGACAGAAGACTGCGTGTCAGGGGAGAACCAAAAAGGGCATGTCTGGGTGTCCAGTGTGTTGGTGCCACATTCCACTGATCGCTTTGAGCAAACATCGCGAGAATCTGCCATTATGAGACCTTCACTTCACCGTTAAAGCTTGAAGCATTGAAACAGTGACCTAGAGAGATTCTGCCTGGATTGGCTTGGAGTTGGTTGGTCTTCGACAATTGCAGGAAAAGAAAAACAGATGCCGTGAACTAGGACGCCCATCTTTGCAATTTTTCTCGTTTGTGTCAGATGGCTGCCGCCTCCCCCCCATTTCGATGGTCCCGCCAGAATATGTGAAGGTGTGCTAATGTAGTTGTTCACAGGCGACACAAAGCAATAGGTCACCATATGAAGGCCCTTCACTTGTTGAGCTAAGTCTCAGCTATCTTACAGCGAAGTTGTGGCAGGCACAAGACAGCCGGCAGGTGGCTTGTATGCTTGACTTCAGGGAACCGGACTTTGTTTGTCTGAGTGTGGCTATTCATCGCTACAAAGATAGCATGCCACTTGCAACTGAGCACGAATTTCAAGCAGCAATTAAAGATTTATCACAGATTCTTAGACGACACCTCAAATTGGACATTTGGGACCCTTTATCTACTCCTTATTTGGAGTTTACCTGAAGGAGTATGGTCCAGGGATCTGGTGGTGAAACCTAGAAACAAGCCAGTTTAGCTTGCTCATCGCAAGATCAGCTGCACAACACTGGCAATGCTACATCTTGGAGATGCCAACTCAAAGGCCCGCGTTGTCATAATCGACAGACCTCCTGCAAACAAACCCGACGTATCTTTCCGAACAGGGACCTTGCTCCACAGCGGGCTTTTTCGTGGCAAGAGGCTTCATAGTTTATCCAGCTTGTCCCCCACAGTCTTTGTTACATGCAATCTAGGCATGTGTATCCCACCAATGCCAGTCTTGCCTTTGAGATCTCCTCTCGAATTCCAAGGGGCATGCTATTGCCATCTCTTTACTGCTCTCTAGATGCAGCGTTAACGCGTTTGTGCCGCCTGAACTTTCCCTACGTATATCTGCCTTTGATGCAGGACAAACGCACGGAGCACAAGACCGGAACGGCCGATGCGTTCTTTGGTACCGGTCCCTGGGTTTCCGTTTGCCAAAGGAACATGTCGGCCACGACAACGAGGGCATGGCCCACGCGGACGGCTTCCGCACCGACGGGTCGGTTGAGAGTTTGAAGGCCCATCAAGCCTCATACCAAAGCTATTTTGAAGTTTTACAGTGGGCCCTTTCGTGACCCCTTTTTAGCTGCGGAAACCCACCCACACACACACACCAGGCTCCAAAACTGGCACCCTTTCTTTTTGAACACTCAAGCGCAGACCCACGACCCCTAAGTTTCCCTGAGTTTGAGTCCGCCCAAGGGCGAATAAGTTGTATGTTTGTATGTTCGAGTTTCCAGTATTTGTTCGAGATCATTAGCATGAGCTGCATTTCCAAGTCCAAGGCGATCGTCTCCATGAAGCACAAGCAATTGACTGCATAGAGTTTCCAACATGATATGGAATGGCGTGCTGTAGAAGAAACCATGAGATTTCCAAGACATCCATGGAATTAGTGAGGATTCTGGCCATTCACTTGTTTGATGAATATCGTGTCCCGGTTCAAAGGGATCCGGATCACTTTGAGGGTCATTCTGCATCTCCATGTTGCTCTCGGAACTCCCTCCACCTCCACCCCTTGCGGATTCATCAACACCTCCCCTATTGATTCGGGGGATGATCTCCAATCTTAGGCGTGTCTCTTTCTTAAATGAAGCCCAGATTTCCCTCCCAACTCCCCAACCCCAACCCTCACCCCACCTGCCCCCTCCACCTTTCGGAGGCCTGGGTGCAGAGTTGGGACGCGGCACCGCAGCTCCTGACACAGATCGCCGCTGAGGCATTTGGATGGGCGCCCCAAGCTTTGGGCCTTTGGTTTTGGGTGGGTTTCGGGTTTGGTTGGGTTTCTGTAGCCTGTTTCCTTTGCTGCGGTCAAAGCAATTGACAGTTTCCGGGCGCAAGTCAGAAGCTACCATTTCCGGGGTGACTTTCGGCGTGGGCTTTTTTGAGGGAAACCATTTGAAGGTTGGCTCAAAGGGAAATCGAAGGGAATACAACTTTGTTTTGGGCCCCACACATTTTGACACATACCTGTTTGACAGCCATAGTTGCATTGTGGACAAGATTTCCTTTGCAAACTTAGGGGAGGTGGTTGAGGCCTAACTTGCCATGCCCTGGAAGTTTTTGGAGGTTGTCAATTGGTCTTTTTCTATTTGGTTGGTCAATGCCATTCAACCCAAGGAGTGACTTTCCAAACTTGAAGATTGCGAACTGTTGGGCCAGAGGTTGGATGGGGCTGGTGCTTTCTGCGTTGGGGATGACCAGCTTGCCGTTCGAATGTGCGTTACAGTGGGTTTTTGGCCTTTTTGGAATGGCCCCAAAGTATGCAAAAACAGAAGGCCCATGCCAGAGGCTGCCCACCCCTCCACGGGAATTCTCAAGAAAGCCACGGAGTTTCAAAGCCGTGGAGTTGGATTTGGGTTTAAGTTAAGTTTGTGTTAAACACGATTCTTGCTGGTTGTCTCGGTCTGTTACAGAAGGCTTCAATTTTTGGATGATGTCAAAATAGAGGAATGCCTGTGAAATTGTGGTTTTCCTTTGGTGTCCCGTTTAAGCAACCTGGAAAGGATACCCTCACACACCCTAAGTGGTAGGGAAGCAATCCCAGTTTCTGACTTTACAAAACAATCTGCTTGAAGCGGAGAAGCCTTGAAGAAATCTAACCCTCAAGACTTCTACCCCCCAATTGGACGTCTGACAAACAACTCTCAAGAGAACTTCAACCCTCAGGCGGAGGAGTTTTTGGTGACCTTCCCCATTGGCCTGAACTCCCGGCTCGACGAGGTGGTCGCCAGTGGTGCTTTGCGGCCCTTGGCGCGGGTACTGCGAAGGGTGGACGCTGGCAACGCTTGGGAGGCGCCACAAGTTTCTTTGACAACGTTAGGACCAGGTTGACGATGTATGGGGAATTATTGAGGTAAATGGCATCTTGGGAACAATGATTCCATGATCTCCAAGAGCACAGCAGGGATAGCACGGAAGGGTGATCTAAACCTAAATGTTTGACTAGATGTCAATCAAGTTTCGGCCTTTTTGGACCTCTCCGCACTTGACAAACTGAGGGATGATCCTTCAACTCGAAGCCACTTCGACCGTTGGAGGAGGACCCTGGGCAGAGCTTCGAGTATCACTACGACCTGAGGGACGCCTACTTGCCCGACACCATCGGCCTGATGTTCCACCCACAGCTGAGGGAGGCTTGCACGTTTGAGACAAGCAAAAGTGGGGGGGCTGCCTGAATCGGCAAACTGCTGGAGAGAAACCGGGTCAAGGGTTTGCGCATGTTTGATGCAGGAAGGAACCAACCAAATGTTGGGAAGTTCAGTTTATTCGACGTCCCTTTGAAGAGCCAGCGCTGTGTTTGTTTTTCCCTGATTGGCTCAGGACTGTTCTTTCAAGTGAAAGTTGTGCGGATATTTTTGTTTCATCTTTGCACTGACCCACAAGGCACATGCGCAAGCTCGAAAGCAAATCTAAGTTGGCAAATGGAAGGCTAGCCTCTTATTTAGTTTCAATTAGGACGGCAATGAACAAGGCATAATCACATATGCATCGTGTAGATGGAGATATTCCTCAACTCAAGTCATTGTGTGGGGCGCTTCTTCCTAATTTTTAAGTGGTAGACCCCATTCGCAGCCTTCAACAGCCACCCCTGAGAGAAGCCTCAACCAAATGATTTTAATTCACTGTTTCGCTTGCATAATTTTCAAACCTGCAACGGAACATGTCCAATTGCACCTCCCCCCTCCGGCGCAAACTTTGGCAGGCCTCAAGAAGGCAGAACCCTTGTGGCTGGTTGTTGGCGGCAAGCAAAAAGGCAGCAGTCCAACTCCAATTTGACAGCCCACCCCCGGACTCACCCGTGCGCCCACCAAATCCCTTGGGATGTAAACGGCCAGGTCTACCGCGAGATCTACGGCGCCGAGATGCCGCAGAAGCTCGCGCCCCCGCGGCACCCGAGGTTCCGCTTCGCCAACGCGGTGTGCGTGGTGACCAACCTGCCGGAGCTCCTGAGAGGCGGGTTTTCAGAGTCGGAACCTCAAAAGTGGTCGGTAGAACCGTTTGATGTCAATATTCCACCGGAGATGTCCGACTAAAGTTCATAAGGAGGGCCCCAGGAAGTTCAACACCTTGCCATGATGCGGATATCCGGCCTTTTGACGTTTGTTGCATGATTCGGGTAGAACACATCAGTAGCAGGTTTGGAGTCTGGCTGGACTGGAATCCGCAAGATCCGTAAGCCAGATGGTATTGTTTGCCCTTGTTGTAGTGGTGTCCCACCACTGAATACCGATTTGGATCCCCCCCATGTTGAACAACACGGTAAGGCCCTTGGGAAAACCGCTTTGGATACTCGGCCTATTGCACTTGGATGAATTTAGGTTGCAGGCAAGAAACCTCCCGCGCCTGCAGTGAGGTCGACTCTTGCCGAAGGCGTCACAGAAATGGAGCGCTGAGAGCTACGAGAGTTGGGGAAAAGCTACGAGAGCGGTGCATAAGCTGGGTGCATCTCGGCTAGAGTCTGTCAGTTTGTCACCCTTCGAGACATTTTTTCGGTATTCCTTGCAGATGTACGGAGCAGTCCTGGGTGCACAGTGGAAAATCCTTGCTAGGTTCATGTTGAGGGTTTAGCACAGGTACACACATCGATCGCCAACACACTAATGATTGCAACCGACCATCAAGTGGTATCACCAAGCGTTACTGGCATACAGTTATTGCGTGTAAATTGTCGGATAGGACCGTGTCATCGTTTTGGCAATCAACGTTGTAAACCATGACGAGCCATGTCAAGCAGCTTTTTCCACTTGAGGGTGCCACTTCAACTTCTTATCAGCGATTTGTGCTGACGAATCCATGTGCCTCTCCTGTGGCACTCCTCTAAAATTACACGCGCCAGGGTGGGAACTGGTTTGCCAAGCGGGTGGTTGACCTGGCGTGTGCCCCAGCGGGCACGGATAGCCTAGCGAGTTCCAGTTTCCGTGAGGTGGGAGCGACATGGCACATGCCCTGACTGCACCTTTGGAGGGCGCTTGCTTTGTTAGCTTGCCATTTGTGCGGTAGCAAAAGTTGACATTTACTGAACAGGCCATTGAAACATTGTAGACTCATTTGATGACTTGACAGTCTACCGGCTTGGAGGATCATGATGCGTATCAATCATGTCTTCTCCACACATGTCTCGTGCAAATGTGAAGTGGGTTGTACAGGATAATGCGATTGAATCCTATCATGGGAGTCCCTTGGATTTGGCGAAGCGGGTCTAACCCCTAGCACCGGATGGGGTTTGTTGTCGGGGCATTGCGCTCTTGCTTGCGCCCGGCGGTTTCTTGAGAGGGCTTGAAGGATGTAACTACTTCAGAGACTTGGACTTGGCTATGATTTTTTGTTGACGGACACGCCGCGCCTAAATGATTTCCGCCAAAGGGTCCCAATTACAAATCATACCTGCTTGGGTGCTGTGGATCTCGCCGAATTGCTTTCTTTTGGCGCATGGACACTTGGAAATTGGAGTCGCAAGTGGCTGCAGAGAAGATTCCAAGCGGTTTGGGCAGATGTAGCAGGTCGCCCCATTTCTTTCCTCAAGCGATTTACAGCATTACTTGTCGTTGGTCCAAGTTCAAGTGGTCTTCTTTGCAGGGAAATCTACCCCCGGTTTCTCTGTGCAAAGCGCTCTGTTTGACCATCCATCCGAGGAGCGCGAGAGCAACCAGTGGGTCTCGGAGTTCAAGTCAGTGGATGCCTCGCGCTCGGCGAAGTTCGGGTGTCGTTTTTGAGGGTACGGTACCTTTGTCTGAGGGTGTTGGAGGGGAACCCAAGAAAAATGACCCATATGGTTCCCCTTTGAGACAAACCCATTCGGCTTGTTCGGAAAGAGTGCGAGAGGACATTCAAACAGGGAAATGTCACAATCATGACCCAGGTTTGAACTCCTTCAAGAGGTGGGCCAATGTGAAACCAGTTGTTTCCAAAAAGGCGACGAGACATGTGATATCTCCTTCTACTTTGGGATGGGCTGAAGTAAGCGCATTGGAACAAGCCCACACATGGAGTCGGCCAGGGTTCGATGTGGCTGACGTGCGTTCTACAGATTGCGCATTCTACCAGTAAACTGCAGTGTAGAGAGATGTTGTTGTTTTGGAGTGTTTGGGAGAGTATTGTTTGTAAGATTGTTTTCAGTGTATTTCAGTGTTTAACATTGTATTCATATTGTGCTTTGTTGCGATGTGTGAGCAAGAGCTTAATCGGTGCTTTGGGCTTTAGACTGGTGGAATAACCACCAGCTCATTCTTTTCCTGGAACAGTGGCAGGCAACCCACCGGATCCAAGTAATCCATCTATTGACCAGCCGTCTGCACAGACTGCGGGAAACCGCAGTCTCAAGACCGAGAGCTCTTTGAACTCTCACGCTCACTCACGAACATGGCAAGGATGTGAAGCAACATGTAGTCGAAGCAGATTCGCTGGTGCCGATGGCTAGGATTTCCAGAGAAATATGTTCAGTATCCCAAACCAGCATCAAGTCATGTCAAGTCCATGCACGCATGCTTTGGTTGCCCTATATATGCAGGCAAACTTGACTCCCATCTTTCATCCAACAAAGTGCAGCGTGCTCTACCCCAACTTTCTCCCGTAAATTCTATCCTCTTGTTGTTTGGCGGGTTCGAGACCCGCTACAAAAATGGTCCAACCAACCAAATGCACTTGAACGCCTTCTCTACCGAAGGGGCCATTGGTTGCAACCAGGTCAAGGTCACTGAGCTGGTGGAGATGGTGGGTGCGGCTCTCGAGGATGCTGCGGCCGCACATTTGCTTTTCCGTCTGTTTTTAGATCTTAACACAACCTTAAGCCAACCTGCGGCAAACATGGGCTTGCTTCGGTTTCCCTTCAAACAAACTCAACAAGGGTACTTGTTTGTCTACTGTCTGGGGTGGGGGGAAGAGGGCAAGATCTGCGCGATCGCTTCAACGCTGACAACCGGCGTAGTAAGTGAGCATTGCACATAGGTTCATTCAGCAAAGGTCAGCAGGAGCTGTCATCCATTCAGGTACAGTAGCGTCTTATCATGAACGGAAAGCAAACATGGGATCATGTGTTAAGACGGAGTGGCGACATTTTTCCATGACTTCCTGGCACTGGCACCGGCTACCCCCACGTCAGGTCTTCTAGGGCTTGCATTCTCAGGAAAGGGCTTGTGTGATTTCGCTGCCGCGCTGCTCCCTTTGTAAGTCTGAAGACAATGCATTTCGCCTCGCCTGTTGAGCGGTGCCACATGGGATCCTGATTCAATCCGCGAAGGCCACACGCCATGATGCCATGCACAGGACAAGCCGGAGATGCCCAGCCGCGTGCGTTGAGAGCCGGATAATCCTGTCTCACTCGGGCTCAGGGTGGAGAAATCAGCGCGAGTTACCCTCCCTTCAACAATCATGGAAGCTGACAGGAAGGCGTGGGACGACTTACTTTCCTTTTGAGGGACCTCACTGTCCAGTTCCAGGATTGTTGGAAGGAGTGCCTCCTTTTGAACAGGGTTTTTTGGGGCCCGCGACTCTACCCTGACCTGGCTAGGAACGCATCTCCACTTTGTGCTGTCTGTTTATGGCTTCAGTGGCATGTGATGGTTGGAGTCGGCGAGCATTGGCCTACTCCTGCAGTGCCTTTCTTTTCACTTTCGTTTGGCATTTGACAGCACAAAGAGGGGCAAGCGGTGGCTCAGCCTCCCATCGGTCCCATTGGCTGGTGCTTTGGGCTTTCGGCCACCGAGGTGAATGCTTGCTTCTGTTTTGACGACAGTTGCTCACCGGAAGCCCTCTTTACAAACAAAAGGATGGACTTGATGTGATACGTGACAAAAATGCGAGTTTGCCTCTGCCAAATGACTATTGCCTTTAGAAGCCACCAGCGAAGGGGTTGGGTTGACTCTGCAGCTCCATCGGATTGGGGGCCCAACTCTCTTGAAGCCTCCAACCTCACAATGCAGCGAGACTTGAGTTCTTGCCGGAGCCTTCGATGCTTCGTCCTTGAAAAAGGCTGTTACTTGCAATGTTTTGTAGAGGCGTGCACAGCTTTCACCCTTTCAAAAGGGAGGCCTTCTACATCCGGGTCTCCTGGCCTCTGGGTGCGCATCCGGAAGCAAGCCGTCAGCCTCTCGGGGTGAGACGCGCGCCTCGCGAGCCTCTAAATTGAGTCGCCTGGTGTTGCGGCCCCGGACGGGAGTTAATGAACGGCGGAAAAAAAACGTCACTCGGATTGGCACGCACACAAATGGCTGTGAGTTCTGGGGGACCCCCCTCTGAAAGAGTGGTTGGTGGAAATAAATCTCCACCTAAATGATGTCTGCCAAAGGGTCCCCAACCCAAATTCATACCCAAATGACAAGCGTTTCGTTTCGGCTTTCCGAAAGCAAAATGGCTGAAGCGTCCCGTGGCAGCGGTAAAGTTTCCTTCCCGAGTCCAACTCAATGAGCTTAAAGTCGCTCGGAGGTGTTGAAGCACAGCCAATTTGAACCTGTGGCTGGCTTACTTAGGAGGGCCTGCCCGTTTTTCCAAAAGCAAGCCAGGTTTTTGACCTCCATTACACCTCTGGCTTATGGGCCCGAAGTAGGTGGGGGGTTGAACAAAGACAGGGTCCAGTGGTTGGAAGTGGCCAATTGGCTGAAACGACTGATTTGCTTGAGTACCCCGGATAATTCATGAGTTCGACGGCCTTGCGCCAGGTGGTTTTGCACTGCTAGAATGTATCTTTGCATGGTCGATGTGAGCTGCATGTGTGGCTTGGATGCATGATGCATGGATGCATGGATGGACAGATGGACGGATGGCCCGATGGACGGGGTGGGATGGACGGATGGACGGGGTGGGATGGACAGGGTGGGATGGATGGGGCAGGATGGATGGGGTAGAATGGGATGGATGGGATGGACGGGAGGGATGGAATGGACGGGCCTGGATGGCGTGGATGGCGTGGATGGCATGGGATGGGATGGGATGGGATGGGATGGGATGGGATGGGATGGGCTGGATTGCCGATTGCTGGATTGCTGGATTGATTGCTGGATAGCTTGCTCGAGATGTTGGCCAGTGATTTTGACAGGCGCATGGTTGCTTGGCCCCTCGGATGTGTATGTTTTCTCAGGCTGCCGCAGCGACCAAGGGACTTCTGCAATGGGTCCACTGTTTGGCCCTGAAGTGTCCTTTGCTACAACTAGGGTTGTGATTTTGACAGTTATTTCCGGGGTTGTCAATTCAGCAATTGCGGGTGTTTCCCTTTACCAATTCGATTCTGATAGTGGCGAAGGAATGAGGCAGTGCAAGCTCGTTTTGATCCCTCTTAGAAAGGTGTCAGCCATGTTTGCCGCCTGATCCATCCATTGTTTGAGGATACTGACCTCCCCGAAGTTTGTTTTTCCGCATGCCAAAAGGTCATGGGCCATGGCTTTGAATGGAAACCAAAGGGCAGACACGTTGAGTTCGAAACTCTCTTTGACTCATACCCGTGTACTGTTTGTATAGTTCTGAGCCGCACGGAATGAAAGCCCAAGGCTGGCTGTGGTTCGGGCTCTGGGGCGTAGAATGAGTACTTTTGAACAATTGGGTTTTAGGTTGCCCTTTTTTATGATGCCAAGGGAGTTTTGCTTGAAAGTGAAGTTGTCAGAGGGATTGGAATCGCACATGGATATACCTGCAAGAGCTGTTTAGGCTTGCACAGCCAAAGACACCATGCGCTTTCTGAAATGAACATCATATTTGATCCTCTTTGGGATAGTTGACCAGTTTCTGCAAGCTATCCAGTCCGGAAAGAGTTTCTTGAGAGTTCATGATGCGAGGTTGCCGTTTCTCCATGAGCCTCAACTTATGATATTGGGGACTCACTGAAGCCGGACGCCATGACGGCCTCCCTGGATGAGCTGAAGCAGGCGTCGCATCTGCGAGGAATCCTGGAAGGTCATGAGAGACTCTGCCTGAAGGGTAGACGGTTGACATGCGCACGTACGGCAGACATGTACGCATAAACAGAACAGTTGAACTTTGTGCTGCCCATTACGGGGTGTATTCAACAGGGGCTGGCAGTATTGTTTCATTCATCTCATCGCCGCTCTAAACTTCCGTACTCAGAGACATGCAACACTTAATTAAACCTACAAACAACTTGCGGGAACGATATGGTCGACAAAAAAAGACAACCTACAAAATTGTGATTTTCGAGCTGGAGCTGTGGAAGTGTATTTCGCACGCTACACTTGTACTGCCAAGTCGCCATTTTCGAGCTGGAGCTACGGAATTGTACTTCGCTTGCTTACACTTGCGCTACAATGTATGTTGCGATTCTCGAGCTGGAGCTGCCGAAATACACTTCACGGAATACATGTGTACTACAAAGTTATGATTTTCAGAGCTGGAGCTGCGTTGCGTGCCACGCTTGTCTGCAAAGTGGCGATTTTTCAGTTACAAAGCGGCGATTCTCGGAGCTGCGGAAGCGTACTTTGCGCGCTACACTTGTATTGCAGTGTTGCGGTTTTCGAACTGGAGCTGCGGAAGTGTACTTCGTGTACTACACTTGTGGTACGAAGTTGCGATGCTCGAGCTGGAGCTGCAGAAGTGTATTTTGGGTACTATGCTTGTACTAGCCAGTTGCGTTTTTCAAGCTGGTGCTGCGGAAGTGTGCTTCGCGTGCTACACTTGTACTACACAGTTTCGATCTTTAAGCTGGAGCTGCGGAAGTGCATTTCGCGTACTGCGCTTGTACTGCAGCGTTGCAATTTTCGAGCTGGAGCTGCGGACGTGTACTTCGCCTGCCACACTTGTGCTACAAAGACGCGCTGTTTCGAGCCGGTATATGTGTCGTTGCCCAACGATCCAGGGGTAAATCGAGCTCCCACGGTGAAGGTCGCCTTGCTTACTTCCAGTTTGCGCACTCTAGAGAGTTGCAACCAGATCCAGTGAGGACTCTGTATTCTTTACGGAGTAAGCTCTTCGGGAGACCCTCGAAAATGGTTGGTGGGTGCCCAGCTCTTAGAATCTAACGCAATGCTGTTCCCCAAAACGCCCTCCTATCCAATTTCATCCTTAATCAGTGTTGTTTGCCCACATTCATGCCCATTACCCGCGACCTGGCCCTGTTTAGGCGCTGATTGAGACCTTGGAGACCCGCGGGGTTCTGGGTCAGGCACGAAAAACTCGAGACTTGACGTTTGCTATGCCGTTGATGAGCGAACATCCAAAATGTTTGGTGGACCTCAATCCACATGAAATCATGTCCACCAAAGTGCCGTCAACTAAAATTCATACCCAATCAGTTGCTGGCATGCATTCAAGGCAGTGGCCAGGTAGTTGCACTCAAAGTTAAAACCATGAACAGCCGAAAACGGGTTCTTCATTCCCCAAAAGATCGTGCAACCACGGTTTTGTTGGTGGTCTATCGCTTGAGACGGAACATCTCGCTCCATTGCCTGCTTGGTATGGCTGGCCAACCCGTTTTTATTCCACTAGACGTGTGCCCTTTTTGCAATTTGTTATGGTTTGGGTATGTCAGTTGAGTTGGGCGTTAATTTGCACCAGTTAGTCTTCTGAAGGGAATGCCTGTCCCAGGATAAGCCTCATTTGACTCTGAAATCTTCTTTGTGTGAACACACCCACCCAAGACCGGTCCGTTGCTTACATCAACCTTTGAACAGCCACAGCAACTGCGACCAGGTGCGGTCTCTCCATTTGTTTGCACCAGGAAGTGTCCCCATAACCGGAGAGCTCGCTTGGTCTCAATGGGACAAAAGGAAGCCTGCGCCGTCCGCATGGTCAGTCGGAGGTGCCCGGGCTGCTTTTTCCTTTGGTGCCCAATTCTTCGGCGAGATTGGAACACCACAGCACGCAAAACACGAACAAGCAACAGCCATAAACTCACACATGAGAACAACACCCCGACAAAAAGCGGCAGCCGAGCACAAAGCCGAACATAGGATATATTTTTTGGGGGAGGGAGAAGAACAAATGCTGGATTGTCTAGTTTTTGCAAAGAGAATAGGTGTCTTTTCCCCCGACAGCTGAGAAGCTGCGGGGTCTCTGCCCAAGCTGCGGGGTGGTCCCATCAGTTTTCGGTATCCGGCCCGGGTCCGAGCGCGAGGTGAAGGCCAAGGTCCGCGCGGAGATCTTCGCGGCGCTGGACGACGAGCAGGTCGTTGACGGTCGTTGGGTGCCGGGTAAAACCGACTTTTACGTTGGTACTCTAATACGCTAAGATGTGAAAGTTAGCAAAGTTACCCACTTTCCATTCTGAGCGGTCAGCTGCTCGATGCCGCAGGCCTCTGTGTGACAGTCCATTGACCTCAGCGCTCATGACCAATTTGGGCGAAGTTTGTTCGCAGCAGGTGGTCCAAGGGAAAGCCAAAGGAGGTTGCAAGAGTTTGAACAAGGTTGATTAAGGCTTAAACAAGCCACTGAGTTGAAGCAACAGTTGTTTAAACTATGGTTTAATCAAGGGAGTGGCCCAACCCTGGTCCATGGGTTTGCTTCGGAGCTGCCCCGCCATACTCATTCGTTTGGCGCATCATTCGTTTGCCTTTTGCAGTTACGTCATATTTCTGTGCGGAATACTTGGCAATTTTGATACCCACGTACACTATGGATGGCTTGCGCATGTTTTCAATCAGATGAACAGACCAGTAGTTGCGTATATGTCTACAAATACACCTTCTGCTTGTCCATCTTAATCTGAATAGCTTTGTGAAGAACGTTTGCCTCAGTCCAACCTCTGCGTACAGCTTTCATTATCAAGTTGCACAGCTTCTATTTGTGGTTGGAATGCCTTGTAGTTTTCTGCTACTCTGAACAAAGGCGCTAAAATTGCCATTGAAGTTCGACTGTTGGGCCAAGGGAGAAGGCAGTTTGGTTGTGTCCGAATCCTTCTCAGGGCGACTTGATGTTCTTCTCAATTGAGCTCAGTATTTGCCAACTACAAGGGAAGGCCAACTGTATGGGCACATTTGCAGGTTTGTTGCATTCTGGTGTCCTTTTTGTTTCTAGCATAGTTTCCCCCACTGGTAAAGCATTGATGCAGTCTACATATTGCGGTTTGTCCCAGCAACCCCTTGGCGGTAGTGGTGTGGGGGTAGTGGAAGCCACAGCGAGAAAGAACGGCGCAGGTGCAGAGGCCCCAGCTGCCACGTGAGAATGCCCTGATCAACGAGTTGATCCGGGAGTATTTGGAATACAATGGGTGCGCGATGGGTCCTGCCTGCAGCAGAGGCCTTCTTGGAAGGGGTGTTGGCTGCTGGCTTGTGTTGGTTTCTTATGCGTTTTTTTCCCCTTTTGTGGATTGCTGAAACGCAAACTCAACATGTTCCACTCGGCATCCTAGTAGCAAGAAACAGGTTTAGCCTATTTTGGATCGAGCATACTGAGTGATGCAGAAGAGTGAGGCAGGCCAACCAACAACCACTCAGTTCATGTGAAGGGGTTGAAGTGGGACGATAGCACAGTGGTTTTGCCTTGGCATTGGTTTGGGAATTAGATAATATGTAGAACCATAAGAGGACTTGACATTCCACGTGACGCTGTCTACCTATCTACCTGGTTTCCATCTCTCAAACCTCTGGTGCCAGCACCAGTCCATAGCCGTTGAGATGGGAGAACCTGGCGTGAGGGCTGATCATGAGACCCAAGATCCCATTCCATGCTTAAACCATGTGGTGACCCAAGACCCCATAATATGCTCAATATGCAGCACATTTGTGGTAAGACCTTGTGATCTCATGACCCAGGTGGCACCCTTTCTTTCAGCCAGGGGCAGTGCAGTGGCTGTTCCTAAGGAAGGCTTTTTCACGTTGAAGGTCAAGCTTTGACCGCGTTGAGCTGGTCAACACATTGGGCGTTGGGCCTTTCTCGCTTCCCAGAATGGAAATTCCTCATGAGCGTCAGGGAAGACAATTGTTCTGGGACAGTCATTTCTCAACGAATGTGCAGCATTTGCAGACAATTGTGTGACAGGTTCCACTTTCTAGGGGGGCAGCGTCTCGAAGAGGGGCAGAGGCATCCACTCAGTTTGGAGCGCCTCATGGGAACATGAGATCAAGCTTGGCGCTGGCCGCGTTTTCTGCCGTCAAAGTTGGCAGCGATCAATACTTGATGCTATCTACTGTAGCAAAGGAGATGGCAAAATACCTTGGCGGGGCGGGTTCCGCACCAACATCCCATATGAGTTGGGGACAAGGAATATTGACCGCGGTATCTTAGTTGCTTGACATGGCAGGTACTACCATTCCCTGTCAGTCCTTCTGCCGGAAACTGGCCATCCGGAGGAGCCACGTTTGAGCCATGCAGGGCAGGGCCCTTAGAGTGGTTTCTGCAAAGAAAGCCAAACAACAAATACCATTGGGAGGGGTACAACCGATTCTGACACCTTCGTGGCTCAGATCCAGCAACTCAAGGTTATGCTTCCCACGGCGGTTGATAACAGAAACTAACAGCTGCCAGTTTTGCTCGAAGCTGCTCTACGGTGCTTTCGCGACTAAGGCGACCAAGACCCAGGGCTATGCTCAGGGGAGTCAAACTGCATAGTGCTGGAGCGTGCGCTTGTCGCCTTTGTTGGAAAACGCCCGCGCCCGTGCCGGATCGGACAAGGAGCCCCAGTTCGACCGCCGCTTCCTCGCGAGCGAGCCTGGGGGCCCAGCGGGGGGCGGGTTGTTCGACCGTTCCACCGAGCTGGCTCCGCGCTTTGGTTTCGAGCTAGCTGATAGTTCAATCCCTTGGAGTTTCGGGAGAAGTTCTCTCTTTTTTTTGTTAGGGTGAGAATGAGCATAGCACTGAGGCCCAACAAGTCTCAAGCATGGGCTTTGCCTAAAGCCAAGCAGCCCGTGCTTAAGACGGGGGTCCACTTGTTTTCCCGTCGGGTTGGCTTGGTTCGACGCTTGAATATGACAAGTAAGAAACAAGGATTCTCCAATTTAACTGCAGCTATGGTGGGCGCATGTGTGATTTGCAGAGACTCCTGGCCAAAAAGTGGTTCCCTTCGAGGGCGTCCGCAAAGTGAGCATCCAGGAGATTCTCCGCCCAGAAGTCCCATACATCGGTCAGACGCTTGCGTCTCTTTGGAGGTGCGACCGTCTGGCAGCTGCGAGCTGTTGCAACGAGAACGATATGGGTTTGTGTCGAATTGAGGGGACCCCAAATTTTGGGTATTTTTCTTTTGCCCAAAAAGGGTACTCGACTCTTAAACTGAGCACGCACACGCAGAAACGGAGGTGTTGGCCTGGCGAGCATCACTCCCACATGTGGTTGGTGATGCCATTCCAAACGGTGAGTTTCCGGATCGGCTTTTTGAACGGCAAGCACCTTCCCCACAAACGAGAGAGGTCTACGACCAGGATACACTCCTGTGAGGTGATCACGCAGAGGCCACGTGCTTTCAGGCTGCGGGTGCGCGAAGACGAGCGCAGCAGGCACTGGGCACTTGGGGCCCAAGCCGAGGGTCGTCGCAGAACCCATGGCCGGGATTCCAGATGGGTTGCGTCATCTCATGTTTGGGGAGGCTGATCACAGGTTTCCCAATGTGAGGAAGGAAGGTTTGCCTTTAGCTTGCTTGACTTCAAGCAAACAGATGAATACTTTCACGACCGTTGGATCCACATACAAGTCCCAGGGCCCCAAGCCGAGACAGGCGCCTGCGCCAACTGGCCTTATCCCAGCTACAGAGATGTAGCTTTCAAGTTGGGGACCTACACAAGCATGAGTTTCCACTCGGAATGCCACTGTAATGCTTTCAAAATGGCTTTTTGCAGAGAGAGAGAGAGAGAGAGAGAAAAAGAGCGAGAGAGAGAGAGAGAGAGAGCGAGAGAGAGAGGGAGAGGGGGAGAGACACGGTGTGGCTAGGTGCAATGGCAATTTCAGCGTGGCTACGCGGGTGATTGGTCTGCGCACTAAGGTGTTGTTTAATGCCAATGCCATGTGCCATGGGTTTCTGTATTTTTTGTGGTAAATCTTCTGGGCAAGTTATTTGGATTAAAAAGAGCTCACGCATGATGGTCCGCGTCCACCAAGGCCGCGGGGCGACCAGTGGCAGTTTGTGGTTTTAGTTGCGTGCCCCTGTGTTTCTGCTTTCTTGCTCCGCTGTGCCTCGGTTGTCCGGGGCTCGCTCTCTCATGGTGCTGCGATGGTTGTGGATATCACCTTGCTCAAGGACAACGCGTGGCCTGCTACTAGGCATTCTCATGGACGCCCTTCGGGTGGTTGGTCCTCCTGCAACTGGCAATACGTTCATTTTTGTGGCCTCCGTGCCGCCATGGTCCAGTGGGCAGCAGATGCGCTGCTACAACCTCGACTTTGGAAGCTCACTGCTGCTCCAACGCAATGGGGGGTACTCCCACTAGAGGTGCCTGTTTTGTAGAGTGTTCATTGCCCGAAGTGCCACGACATCTCGACTGCGCGCCTTTAGCAGGTTCAGTTTTGGCGTGGTCCGTCACGAATGAGCCACGACATTGACGTGGTCTCACTTCCGGAACAACTGCGCAATCAAAATCGTTGACGCCCTGGAATGGACTCTTCGCCGCCTGACCCAACCGACTGTTCAGGGGCCTTGCTGGCCCCATTCGATCGGCTGAGCTGTCTTGGAGGCTGGGGCCTTCCTGATTATGCAAGTCCATATCGAGTTTGCCCTTCATTTTGACTGCAGTGAACCATTGCTTGCTTATAGCAAGAAAACCGCGGTGCTCATTTGATCGGCGCTGGTGTTATCCTGACTGCGCAGTTGTGGCCACTATTCCAAGGCGCTCAGAAGTACACTTTTTTTTCTTCGGCGGACAACCAGCTCACCACGCGCAGGATCATCTGAGTCACGCACATGCAAAGGCCTATGATGCAGGTGGTGCCATTGCTCCTCTTATTGCGGAGCCAGTGTCTGCATATCCCAAACACAACATGTCTTCGCAGAATGAGCAGCATTCTGCGACCAGTTGCCGGCAGAGTCACCAGCTATCTGCAGAGTCATGGCGCAATCGCAAAGTTTGAGAGTTTCCATGCCGTTGTCACCTGTTCGCATCTCAAGCTCATGCGCGCGCGCCTGACTGAAGCCCCCAACTGCGCTCTGTATGCCCTTTCTGGGTATGACCATGTTGTGTTCATCATGCCTGAGATCAGCCACGTCCTGACACTTGGTGTCAAACTCTCACTGTCCAGTGTAGGTAACTCCGTCTGGCTGTGCGAGGCGAAATGTGCCTGCGGATCGAAATGCGGCAATTCTGCAATGTCACTCAACTCACTCCAAAAGCACAACACTTTTGTGAGAATTGTGAACATCACAATCGACATGACGGTCCGTTTCGGATGCAGCGCTGGGCGGGCCGCTGCAAGAAGCGTCGGTGGTCCTTTACTTGGGTGTTCCTCGTGTCAGGCTTGCAATTTCTAGTGCGTATCTTGTGCAGATGCAAAGGATCGTTTGGCCACAGGGCAAACTCTTTCAGTTTTCAGAAGGAATAGATTTCTAGTCCTGAAGAGTTTCCGAGCCCTTCTAAGAAACCCCTTTTCAGGTCTTTCCGAACTTCCAAACCTTTCCGGGTGGGGGGCCTCAGGTTTCCTCCCGTGGCGTTGATGCCAGTGATTCGTGCGGAAGGTCCCTGCCGCTGCTCTACGCGTTGGTCCGTGGTTCCGTACGTGCAGAGGATGGGGTGGGAGGGGTGGCCTTGGCGTTGGTTGGCTGACTTCTTGGTTGCTTTTGTAGTTCTATTTCGGCTTCCCTTCCACTCCAAAGGGGGCCCTGGAAACGGGGGTTTGGTGCCCTTTGAGTGGTTTGGGGTACGACCTCCATTGATAGAAAAGTACGACCCGTGGTCATGGCTGAAAGTGCTGTGGGGGTTAGTGTGGAATTTGAAGGGACGTGAGCAGAAGAGCCCGCGCAGCACCAGATCCAGTTTTACTGATTTGTTTGAGGTCTATTCTGGTGCTCCCACCTTTGGTCTTCCAGTTTGGAAGGATAGTTTTCCGCAGAGGTATGCTTTTGGGGCTGCACTGCCCTGGCGTCTTATGTCACCTGTTCCCAGTCCAGTCGCAACAACTGCGAATGATTGGAAGCGGCGCAACACAACCAACCCTTGTGCTGAAGCGGTGGGCTTGCGATGACTTTTGCTTGTCCGTTCCGCCTTTCCATTGAACCAACCGTGTTGGCCTCGTCCTTCGCAGCATGCGAAGGGGTGATTTGTTTATGGACGTGTTGAGAGAAGACCGTCCAAACAACTCAGAAGGTACAAAGGGCTTGGTGACCAAATTGCTCATCGCATTTGGCTACACGATAGTTCGGCAGCCGCCAAACCGCTTGGCAGCCATGCCGATGAGCGCGTTCGTGCATCGATGCCTGGGGCGTGCTAGTGTCGTCAGACGGACTGAGACGGACATGTAAGCACGGACCGGGGAAGATTCTGGCATCATTGCGGAAGATGTGGAACCCTGCTCTACCCCATGGTTTGCTCCCCCAACCTTGCAGCGTGTCACTGGGTGTTGCTTTGTCTCTTCAGAGAGTTTCGCAGGCTTTGTCAGGTATGGCTTTCACGCACGTCTGCCGTTTCAAACTGTTCGTTGGCATGGGGTGCGTGTTTCATCCCATTTGTCAATACACAACTTCCAATTACAGGGTTTTTATCGATGACCGTTTTTGTAATTTGTGTTGTAGATCGTGGTTCTCACCGCGTTTTGCCTAGCACGGGGGCTTAGAACGGCCCTGAAGTGAGTGATTCGAAGAACAATTCTTCTTCTTCAAGGCACAGTGAGTGCCCGAAGTTTCTCAGGCAGGGGAACAAGCGAAGCCCTCCCAATATTCTGAAACATACCTGGCTTTGTGTTACATCGAGGTTTTGAGTGGTTGGTATTCAGCTTGCGCATGGAACTTGAGCCATCCGTGTGTCAGGAACCCTACAAGCCCAAAAAAGCTTTGACATTTCGCCCCGCAGCCTTGAGGAGGCCCGGCCGAGTCCAGGCTGGGGTTGGGATGCTTAGATGGGCGATATTCCCCCGGTTAGGACAACTTTGGAGCCCCCTTTTTTGCCCAGGCGGCGCAGTTTCCTTGACTGGCGTCTCAAAAAGGGGTGACAATTCCCCCACGTGCCAGTTTTGCGCTCATGGATGGTCATTCAACCCTCTGAGGTTTCTTTCGTTCAAAATGAAGATAACCAGTGGTCTTGGACAGCCCAGGTACACTTGGGACTTTGCTTTTTTGGTACATGCGAGATTCTTTCACAAAACATCGTTGGGAATCACAATGCGTAGGTTAGCAGTTTCTTTGGCTTGTTCCTTGATGCGCGAGGCATAGGCTCTGGGCTGATTTGGAACCATTGTTTTCGTTTCTGGTCTGGTCTTCCCAGACTGTGTTCCAGCGACTAAGCAGCGCTTGCTGAACCTCAAACGCTTGAGCAACCTCAGGCTGTGGCTTTCTGGAAGGCGGAGGTCCAAGGATGGGCTGTTGAAAACAAGCCAAACATAGGCGATGTCCACACACACACACACACACCCCATAACACTGACCAGTGACCCGGGCAGTGAAGGCACCCACAGGTACCAGCCTTGCAGATTCTGGGCACCCAGTTTTGAGATACAAGTCAATGACATTGACTTGCGTGTCAACACTGGGATTTGGACTCTGAAACCGGATTTCGGTTTTCCTGTGGGTTACCCCGCTCAACCGAAGCACACGCCGTGTGTTTGAGGCTCAAGAGCCTTTGCACCTCGGATTGCCAGGTGCTGGGCGAGCGCGCGAGGAGTCGGCCGAGGCTGGGTGAAGGGAGGCTGCCGTCGCTGGTTCTCAGTAGGAAATCATGGTAAGGTTTGGGGATGAAAGTCGGACCCTTAAAGGAACCACAAGGGATGGTGCAGCTCGGGGTAATCCCCCTCCTTCGCTTCATTCTGTTATTTCAAGGTGACAAAGAGCCCTGGTGCAGGGCAAACTTCTTCTACACATACTAATGTTTGCGGAGCATGGTGAGGAGGTTTCAGGAAAATGTGGGGGATATAAATCTACTTGTGCTGCGGAGATTAGTCAGGGTCGATAGAAGCAGCTGCATTGAATACGGGGAATTATACTGGATTGTTGGAGTTGGATTTCGCACCCGGGCCAACCTACCGAGGCGCAAACACACACACACACACACTCACACACACACACATTCACACACACACACATTCACACACACACATTCACAAACATTCACACACATTCACACGCATACACACACACACATTCACACACACAGTCACACACAGTCACACACATTCACACACATTTACACACATTCACACACATTCAAACACACACACACACACACATTCACACATATTCACACACACACATTCACACACATTCACACACATTCGCACACATTCACACACACAAACGCACACACACACACACACATTCACACACATTCACACACATTCACACACATTCACACACATTCACACACACAGACATTCACACACACACACACATTCACGCACACATACACACATTCACACACACACACATTCACACACACACACACATTCACACACACACATTCACACACACACATTCACACACACACACACATTTACACACATTCACACACACACATTCACACACACACACCACACACACACACACACACCACACAC